GTATGAAGGTGTATGTTATTGGCACGATCATGACTAACCGGCTTGGATTCAACCCGAATCTCAGGGCTACGAGCAAGACACGCCCAGTGAGCATACCCCACGGTACATTCTCGTTCTCTCGCTCTATCGCCATCCCGACCATGATTTCCTGTGTTTGGTGGGACCGGAAGCCCGTCTATTATCTCTGTACGGGCTCCATTATGGCGGCGTCGACAATTGAGCGAAAAATAAAACGTATCGGTGCGGTTCGAGTGCCGTGCCCCTCTGCTGTAAATGACTACCAGAACTGGATGAGCGGAGTTGATGTCCACGATCAACTCCGTCTCCAGTCGTATTCACTGCAAATGTCGACGAGGTTCACGAAATATTATAAGAGCCTATTCTTAGGTTTGCTGGACATGGTCATGGTAAATGCGTATCTTACGCACAAAGAGGGGGCCAAGATCAAGGGGATGGCTGCTATGAAGCGCTCAGAGTGGTTTTGCGTCCTTCAAAATCAACTTCTCCAACTCAAAGCCGAAGATTTTGCTGGAGTGGAGGCAACACCGCCTCCTGCGAGCCAAAAGCGCCAGCGCACCCCAGTACGCCTCACGCACGCGCTGCAGCAGTCTGAAGATTGGGTTACCGTTACTGGGGTCCAGAAACGCCGGCAGAGATCGTGCAAGGTCTGCGCGCTCTTGCGTACTGAAAAGAAGAAGTCCTTCGCAACAACGTTCTTTTGCGAACGCTGCTCCGTTGATAATGCGAAATGCTGGTTGTGCAACCGTATTCGACGGGAATACAAGGGCGTTGCGAAGACATGCTATGATATCTGGCATGATGACTTCGACGCCGGGCAAGCTATCCCACCAAACTTAGGGAAGCGCATTGTGCTCCGTCGGCCCGGCCAGAAAGCTGGCCAAAGAAAGAAGACGCGACGGGAACTTCGACTTGGGCACGATGCTGGCAGCGACGACGGCAACGGTGGTGACAACGAGAATGGTAGTGATGACGAGTGAGCTTGGTTGCGTGTCAGTTGATTAGTGATTTGTTTCAAATACACAGCTACTTGAACCATCGTACCTTCGTCCTTGCGTTTCTTGATTTAAGTGGACTGCCTGTGAAGCAATTTAGCCATCTGTTGACTGCACTTGCAGTCAGTTACGACATTGAGCAGGCAATACTGTCGCTGAATCCCGTCAGAGTTACGACATTGAAAGAAAAACCTGTTGAAAATTAATGCACCTAACCTCACGTCAAAAAGTGCACCCATACAAATACGTAGTAACATTGATATACCGTATCTTACGACATGCGCTTACGCGTTCTGGGCAAGTACCGTCCGGACGCAAGGTGTTAAGTGCCGCAGCAGCTTACCTTCCTTTAGCGCGTCGCGAATGACCGAACGAGACACACCCACCTCTTTTGCTAAACTGTCTTGGGTCATGCAGCGTCTGAAATGGACGTCGGCTATCTGCTCCAGCAGTGCGGAGCGGACCAAACACGGCTGATTGTGCTCTTGTCGACGCCAAAATGGTCAGATGCACGGGTCAAGCAACCCCAGTCAGGTTCACCCCCGCACGCTGTGCATGAGAATGAAGAGGACGACATCCTGGCGTTCTCGGTTCGTTAGGTTTGGCCTCGAAGTGGCCCCAGCTGAGTCGGCTGCGTTGGTCATGCGGCTTGGAAATGGGGAGTGTCTGGTGTTAAAGATGCTGAAAATGTGTAATGGCAAGCTGCTGCGGTACATTTCCGTCGATAACTCTGGCGTCTGAGCAGCGTTTTTCGCGCGCAAACCAGCGCTGGAAAGAGGAGATCACACCGCGACGATTCCGCCAATCAGCGCTTCTAAAGCGAGTCTGTAGGAAAAACCACGTTCTTGACTAGGAGACTGTTGCAATTATTACCAACGAGAGGAAGTACATTTCTTCTGCAAATCACAATAACTGTTTTCGTAAAAGCAGTATCATTTTTAATAATGTATGGATTTTTTAACTTTGCCAATCATTGTGACAGCACAGCAAACAGGATTTACGGGTAATGCAGCTCGCCACAGCAGCATCAAGCGGCCATCCTGGCGGCTACGAAGATGAAATATACCTCACACCTGCTACCTCTTTGTCTTCCCTGTCTCCTCGTGGGTTTTGGGCACTGCTTGGTGTCGTCATTCTGGTTCTATTGGCGTTTTCTTTCCTACTGGCAAACGTCGTAGCCTGGTGCATGCAAGTACGTCGCGAGAGCCGCATCCAGCGTAAAACAGAGGAGTTAGCAGCTAAGTCCAAGGAAGCGGGTGCTCCACCCGTTCCTGTCACCATTTTAACGGGCTTTTTAGGGGCCGGGAAGACCACGCTGCTCAACCGTATCTTATTGACCGAGAACGAACTACCTTACAAGATTATGGTGTTGGAGAACGAAATAGGTGCCATCAGTATCGATCATACACTGCTCGAGGCTGGAGGCAAGGAAAAGGATGGGATTTATGTGCTGCAGAACGGCTGCATGTGCTGTACAGCTCGAGGTGGCAAAGGGAAGGGTGGAGACGAGCTCGAACGTATTCTGGACTATCTTTTGCAATTAGTGCAGGAGCAAAGCTTCGACTACCTTGTAGTGGAGACCACAGGTCTAGCAGATCCAGGGCCTATCATTGAGACGTTCTTGAGACTCAGAGCGTCGAGATTTAGACTCGACGCCATTGTCACCATGGTGGATGCCAAAGCGACGCAGAGATACTGGAAGCAAGAGCAAGAAAGTTTTGACTTTCCTATCGAGCTACAACGACAGGCCCTGTATGCAGACATTATCGTGATGAACAAGGTGGATGTGGCTACCAAGGACGAGTGTAACAGATTGGAGAGGGCGCTAACTGGGATCAACGAAGAGGCCACGGTGTGTAGCTGCGTGAAGGCTGACATCGACTTGGGCAAGATCTTGAATGTCAAGACGTTCGACGCAGTGCGGTTCAACACGCAAAGTGATGCCGCTAACGGAAGAAAGCGAAGTGTGAAGGCTCGAGGACAGCATACGGGAGACATTAGCACGATGCACTTCGAAGTCGAACGTGACGTGGACGTCGCTGCGTTTGGCGAGTGGCTTTCTGAAGTGGTCACGCGATATGTGAAGGGGGGCAGATGTGCTACGTGTGAAAGGTGTGCTGTCGGTGGCTGGAGATGCTGAAGACCGCAGATGTATCGTGCAAGGCGTGCTTGGACACGTACACAATCGCTCCTGGATTACCCTGGGAATCCGGAGAGCAGCGAGTCTCGCGACTAGTGCTCATCGGTCAGGGATTCGACCGTAATGAACTAGAGCGCGGTTTTCAGAGCTGCCTTGTGGGCATCAACGCTGATAGCGAGTCAAAGAAGAAGCGGTGAGCTCTAAGATTTGGAGATGGTCCTCGCAATGAAGACAATGGCTCACACAACTTGAAGACAATGTGAAAGCGATTTCTACCTCCAGCAAGTGAATTTATCAGTCAATTGAGCTAACACTGCTGCCAGGCCTGCAGCTTGAAAAGAGAATTATAAGAGACTTGTTTGTGACGCTGTGCATGTAAAAGTGTAGCAGTGTTGCTGACACCCGGATTAAGACAAGTTGCTTTTAAGAACACCGCAATTTGGAGCATATTAATGCTTAAGGATACTGACAAGCGATCTCTATCGCTGTTGCTTAGGCGAGGAGGCCGAAGCTCTTCAAAAATCCCTTAAGAGGTTCGTGGATCTCGTCGTTAAACGGCTGGGTCTTCATGCGAGCGATCCAGGCACAGACCTTGGGGTACTTGGAGAAGTCGTAGCCCATGAGTTCAAGCTGGTCGATCTCACAGTAAGCTGTGTAATCAGCGATCGTGGGGAAGTCGGCGTTTGCGATGAAATCGTTGACCAAGAAGGTTTCAAGCAGAGTGAATTCCTTCTCAATGAGTGCATCTTTACCCTCCAGTGCCGCCTGGTCCTTAGGCGAGTCAGCGTTGAGTTTCTTAGCAATCTCCGGTCGAACGATGTTCAACGTAAAGAGACGAGTGTTGGTGTGGTGCCAGTGCAAGAACTCGTTGACCTTCGCACGGATCTTAAGGTCCTTGGGGTACAGATCCTTGGGACCTGTCCAGTCGTATCTGTCGCCCAGGTACTGCAAGATGGCCATGCCCTCGGTCAACACGAAGTCGTCGTCCTTGATGGCAGGCACGAGTCGGTTGGGGTTGAGTGCCTTGAACTCGTCCGACTTGAAAAAGTCACTGCCCGGCAGCACTGGCACGAGTTCATGGTCGACACCCTTGACCTTGAGTACCCAAGCCACAGAGCGGGAAGGCTGGCTGATGAGGTTGGCGTAGAGCTTGAGAGACATTGTGGTCGAATAGAGGACGCTGCTTGATTCCTAAAGGGCGGATTGAATAATGACACAGAGCTGGCAAGGTACGTGTCTGGTGAGATGTTCTTCGTCCTTCTCTAGCTGCACAGATCGGCGGGCAGGTGCCGAATGTGCTGATGATGCATCTAGGGGTGCTAAAAGCTCTTGTCACAACTTGTGTGCCTCACTTGCACCTGTACAGTATTAAAACACTTCAAGAAGTAATAAAATAGTGACAAAAGGCCTCTAAGTTTACCGATACTTCAGAGGCAAATTGAAAATTTCGCCGAAGGAGTTTAGGACAAGCTGGACTTTGAATTGTTGAAATCATATGCAAGACACCTGGTGTTCATCTATTACCACGCTTACGGCCACTACATTCTATCCTGAAGCGCGTGTGGCTTACGGTTTGTTCGTCTTGGCCTCTGCCCGCAGACCGAGCTTGGTCAAGAACTTATCGAGGTCTTCGCGCACTTCGTCATGATGGGGAATTTGCTGTCAGAAACGTTAATGTCGTGTGAGTGAGCGCTGGTAGTTGCCGAGTCTCTAAACAATGAGAACGAACCTTCATCCGTGCGATCCAAGCCGTCACCTTTGGGTACTTCTCAAAGTTGTATCCCATCATCTCCAGCTGATCGATCTCGCAGTACGCGGCGTAGTCAGCGATGGTTGGCGCACCAGTATGCGCGACGTAGTCCTTGTCCAGGAACGTCTCGAGAAGCGTCATCTCCTTTTCAATAAGAGCAGCTACGTTCTCCAAAAACGTAAAGTCGGAAGGTGACGCCTTGCCTGACGCCTTAGCTGCAGCTGGACGAAGAATCTGCACGGTGAACAACCGCGTGTTGGTGTGATGCCAGTTCAAGAACTCGTCCACCTTGGCGCGCGTCTGTATGTCGGTCGGGTACAAGTCCTTCCAGCCGAGTTTCACAGCAGAATAAGCCAGAATGGCGTTGCTAACGAAGGGGGTTAATGTTAGTTACAGTCTCCGATACCGGTTCGAAGCGTGCGTACCCTTCGAAGAGAGAGAACTCGCCGTCGCGAAGCACGGGGACGAGCGCATTGGGGTTCCACGTCTTAAACTCGTCTGACTTGATAAGTTCTCCGCCGAACTCGACGTCCACAAACTCGTAGTCTGCTCCTTTGACCTTTAGAGCCCATGCAGCTACATTTGAGCAAAATTAGAGCTTTAGAAGTTTCCATCTCTTAAGTTAAAGCGAAATTCTTACCTGCACGACTGGGCTGACTAACCATGTTGGCGTAGAGTTTAAAGCTCGATGTCTTCTGTGGTGACGATGAGCTCGAACTGTTGCTGGCAGTCTTGCTGACGCGGCGTGTGAATCGAGCCAAAGACGCTGGCAAGCCTGTTGGTAAGCTCGGCGTCGGGAGACTTGGCGTCGGTAAACTCCATCCACCCATGATCAAGACGATTGAGTTCCGGTGAAGAGTGACGTGGCGTGTTCTAGCTGGCGAGTTGGATTGTGCTTGTACTTTACCTCAAGGCAATGGCGTCAACTGCAGTGCCAAAGGGTAAAGGCATTCAAAGTGCATCTTCAGCTCTATCTTGGAAAGACTGTAATGGTGTTACAAACCCCTAAAAATGCAGTCGGTGACGAAGAAAGCAACTGTTGATACCAACTCGAGCTGTTTCTAATATCATGTCAGTCTGAACTCGTTTCTAACGTTAGCGCTTCCAAGTCGAACTCTTCGAGTCCGACAGTTCGTACGGGAAGAGCGGCGCACGCGGCACGACGGAAAGTCCACGGCACGTGTGGACGGAAATCTTACCCTGGTTCAGCGTCTTCTGCGACGATGCCGTGCCGTCCAGGTCAACGGCTGTGACGGAGAGCCACCCGAAGCCTGGCACCTCTAACTCCACTACAGTCGTTCTCTTGGGTTTCTTGTGCTTGGACTTCGTCAGTGCACTATCGAGGATGTAGTCCTTCAAGTACACATTCTGCGAAAGCGTAGGCGGACCCGTAAAGCTCATGGCATCCAGTCCACGAGGTGGTGAGAGGATACCACCGGCATGTTTCACAAAGGTGTCTTCGGCACCTACGCAATAAGAAAATGTTAAAAAAGACGCAACGCACATATTGCAAGGAGCGATAACAAATTCGAAGCAAGACTTACGTTCAGTGTTCGTTAGGTGTCCAGGTAGCACGCCGTACCATGATAAGAGCAAGAAATTCTTGTCGTTGTCCTTCCCCAGAGTCTCGTAGTCGAAGCGTGCGAGAGCTCCGAGGAATAAACTTCGACCGGGACGAACGCGGTAAGTTGTAACCTGATAACACAACATAGCAGTTAAATTTGGTAACGTAATCGTTGGCTTCATCGATGACGTACCGGAAGCTGCTTGCTGGGGAAGACGTTCTTGAGCTTGGCAGCACCGTCCAGAGCGAGTACTTCCACAAGCTTCTGTCTCTTGGAATCGGTGATCAAACCAGGAGTGTCGAGGATGTTGAAGACCTCGTTACGTACCATAACAGGCAGATACTGGACGGCCAGGGTCGTACCGGGCAGTGGCGACGTGGTCATCTCTCGGTCTTCGTCAGAACTCGTCTCGATCATTTCCGGGTCTTCACCTAGAGCGACATACAACTCTCCGTGTGGAGTCTTAATGGTCTGTTCACCTTCCGTTGTTGCTTCTTTGTCCTGCTCTGCCTTGGCCTCAGCCAACAGTTCGTCGTCGATGTTCAGCATCGTCGCCGTCTCGTCGTCTTCCAGCTCGGACAATTGCACCTCCGACATCTTCATGTACTTGCGATGATTGTGCTGCCATTTACGGTCTACTAAGTGCGACAGGAACGAGTTGAGGAACGTCGACTTGCCCACGTTAGCAGCGCCCACAACGCAAATATCGCGGTTTTGACGGTACTTGGCTACATCTTCGACGATTTCCTTCATGCCAATGCGCTTCATGGCACTGATCAAGTAGATTGAGATCAAATTGTCAACCCCCGCTTCCCTACAGCACACAAAACCGTCAGTCATACACCTTTACCGCACTCGAACTCTCAGTTCTTACTTTGCCTCTTGCTTAATACGCCGCATAAGTCTCCGAATACCCGACTTGGTAGGCACCAGGTCTCCTTTGTTAACCACAAGCATGACCGGCTTCTTGCCGAAGATATGACGCGCCTTGGGCAACAGACTGCCGGAGATGTCGAGGATGTCCACCAGCTGGATCATAAGCATGTCCTTACTGCGCAGCTCCATGACACGCCGCTCGTACTCCTGGTACGGCATCTTAGTGTCTGAGATCTTACCGTATTGTGTCATCTGGAAGCAGCGCTCGCAGCGCAGTCGCTTGAGCTCCTTTAGGTCGTGAACATTGTTCAGCAGCTGCTTGGGGAAGTACCCGACCTGTTTGGGCTCCTTATATTGCAGTTCAATACCACATCCACTGCAAGTCCACTGCTCCATAATAGATACATGGTTTATGATCTGTTCGACTGTAAGTTTGGGCGTCTCGGCGGCGATGGCGGCGTGTATAGCGTCAGCAGACTTCGACTGGTCCGATGATGAGCAATTGCGGCGATTGGAGGGAGAATTTGACGACGCAATAAAAGTCAGTGGGTGCGCAGACAACGCAGCTACATGTTGACGAGCGTGCAGGTGCTGCGAAGAAGCCAACACGCCGCGAGAGCAGCGCGACACCAGCAATCGTACGGACAGCATCCTTGCCACTCAAATTGTGCTGGTGGCACAAATTTGTGTTAGCATGGTGTGGTTCGTGCGTAGTGAAGGTCTTTTCGTGTAGCGTACATCACTCAGCATTTTCAATACGTGTTTCATCCAATCACAAAGTTTGATAATCATTTTCCCATTTTGTCCAATCGCAACACTGTCCTCCCCTTTAGATCGCTGGACAGGCATCACTTTCCGCATTAGACGGCGAGAATCAAGCCATGAGCGGACTAGAGACCAAGGTGACGTCGCTAGAGGGCCAGGTGGCTGCTCTTTCTCCCTTCTCGGTGGAGAGCTGGCCCGCTGCACGCATCCGCAAGACGTTCTTCGAGTATTTCCAGAACCAGAAGGAGCTCCCGCATACTTTCTACAAGTCTTGCCCCGTGGTGCCCCTGGACGACCCGACCTTGCTGTTCATCAATGCCGGTATGAACCAGTACAAGCCCATCTTCCTGGGCCAAGTGGACCCTTCGCACCCTATGGCCAAGCTTGTGCGCGCCTGTAACTCGCAGAAGTGCATCCGCGCTGGCGGTAAGCACAACGATCTGGACGATGTAGGAAAGGACGTGTACCACCACACGTTCTTTGAGATGCTGGGCAACTGGAGTTTTGGCAACTACTTTAAGAAGGAGGCTGTGCACTTGAGCTTCACACTGCTCACTGAGGTCTTTGGTATCGACAAGGATCGTCTGTATGCCACGTACTTCGGTGGGGATGAGAAGCAGGGTCTGCCTTCAGACGAAGAAACCCGTGAGATCTGGCTCAACTACTTGCCTACTGAGCGTGTGCTTCCGTTCGGTTGCAAGGACAACTTCTGGGAGATGGGAGACGTGGGTCCGTGTGGCCCTTGTACCGAGATCCACTACGACCGTATCGGTAACCGTGACGCTTCCGAGCTCGTGAACGCTGACCGGCCAGATGTTATCGAGATCTGGAACAATGTGTTCATCCAGTTCAACCGCGAGCAGGACGGTAAACTCGTGCCACTACCGCACAAGCACGTGGATACCGGTATGGGTTTCGAGCGTCTGGCGTCGATCCTGCAGGGCAAGGACTCGAACTACGACACAGATGTGTTCACTCCGCTGTTCGCTGCTATCCAGAAGTCCACCAAGGCGGCTCCGTACACGGGTAAGCTGGGAGAGGAGGACCCTGACAAGAAGGACATGGCGTACCGTGTGGTAGCGGACCACGTGCGTACGCTGACGTTCGCTATCACGGACGGTGCGGTGCCCAGTAACGACGGCCGTGGCTACGTGCTGCGTCGTATTCTGCGTCGTGCTGTGCGCTACGGCCAGCAATTCCTCAATGCGCCGAGCGGCTTCCTCACGGAGCTGGTGCCTGTTGTGGTGAACATGCTGGGCGAGGCCTTCCCTGAGCTGGTTCAGAAGCAGAAGGAGGTGGAGGAGATCATTCTGGATGAAGAAAAGTCCTTCGGGCGCACTCTGAACAAGGGTATTGAGCGATTCAAGAAGATCGCGCAGGGCATTCGTGAAGCCAACAAGCTGGTGGTGCCTGGCGAGGACGCCTTCTTTTTGTACGACTCGATGGGTTTCCCAATTGACTTGACGGAGATTATGGCTGAAGAAGAAGGTATGACGGTGGATATCAAGGGCTACGAGGAGTGCATGCGTCTGCAGAGTGAGCGCTCCAAGATGGACCGCAAGAAGGGCGGCAGTAATGGTGCTCGGCCGCTGGTGCTGGAGGCTCGTGAGACCAGTACGTTGGCTGGCAAGCACATTAGCGCCACGGACGATATGGCCAAGTACGAGTGGAACGTCAAGACTTCTGCCAAGGTGGTTGCTATCTTCACTACGACGGAATCGAGCTCGGACTTTGTGGACGAGGTGAAGGCCGGAGACTTTGAGCGTGTGGGTGTCATTCTGGACAAGACGTCGTTCTACTCGCAGGCTGGTGGCCAGATCTACGACACAGGTGTGCTGACTGCGTCCAACTTGAAGCTGGACGTGGACTCGGTCGAGTCGTACGCTGGTTACGTGATGCACATGGGTTCTATTGCTACGGGCTCGATCAAGGTGGGCGACTCCGTGGCGTGCGAGGTGGACTACGCTCGTCGTGCCAAGATCGCTCCCAACCACACCATGACGCACGCTCTGAACTTCGCTCTGCGTAAAGTGCTGGGTACGGTCGTGGACCAGCGTGGATCCCTGGTGGACGAGTCGCGTCTGCGCTTCGACTTTACGAACAACAAGGCGCTGAAGCCCGCCCAGCTCGCGGAGGTTGAAGCTATCTGTGACGATCTTATCAAGCAGCAGCTGGAGGTGTACACGCAGAACTCGGCGCAGGCGGAGGCCAAGCGCATCCAGGGTCTGCGTGCTGTGTTCGGTGAGACGTACCCGGACTTCGTTCGCGTCGTGTCTATCGGCCAGCCTATCGCCCCCATGCTCGAGGACCCGGAGAAGAGCAAGTGGAGCAACTTCTCGGTAGAGTTTTGCGGTGGCACGCACTTGAAGAACACTAAGGAGGCCAAGAGGTTTGTGCTGTATGAGGAAGGCGCCATTGCCAAGGGCATCCGTCGTGTCTCTGCGTACACGTGCGACCTGGCTGTGGAGGCTGAAGAACGTGGTGCGAAGCTGCAGGTCGAGCTCGATGCTATTGACAAGCTGGACGGCAACGAGTTCGTCGAGAGCGTGTCGGCGTTCAAGCCTGTGCTGGACCAGGCGCTGATCTCTCTGCCACTGAAGGACAAGCTCCGCAAGCAGGTGGACAGTCTGGTGAACCGTGTCAAGAAGATCAAGAAGGAGGCGGCTGCTGCTCGCGCTGCCAACGGTGTGCGTGACGCGACTGCGGAAGCCACGAAGGCCAAGGAGGCTGGACAGGAGATTGTGGTGGTCAAGTTGGACGTGGGTACAGACTCGAAGCTTGGGCGTGAGATGCTGGAGGCCATGAGCACCATCATCCCCACGGGCAGCTTCATGATCTTCAGTACCGACTCGGACGCGAACAAGACGGCGGCCTTCACGCAGGTGAGCCAGCACCACATTGACTCGAAGCAGCTGGATGCTCGCAAGTGGGTGAACCACGCCATGGTGGTGATGAAGGGCAAGGGCGGCGGCAAGGACGCTCTCAACGCCACGGGTCAGGCCAAATCGGTGGACAAGGTCGACGAGGCGGTGGCACTCGCCAAGTCTTTCGTCCAGTAAGACGCTGTTTACGCTCTAGCTGCTGAATGTCATGGACTCTTTTCTCCTGCCTAGAATCTTCTACGTCTGTTTGGGTGTGGCGTGTAACTCAAGAACAGCGTCCACCACTTTCTTCTGGTGTTCTTGCAGCTCTTGGTACTCCCACCGCTCCACTTCGCTTAGAAATGGATCCTTTATCTGCTTGTCAACGTCTTGAATCCCCAGCAATTCCTCAATCACTGCGGCGCCGCAGAACGGGACATACGTCTCTGAATATCCTCCTTCATGTGCGAACACAATCCGCCCTGCGCAGATTCGCTTGGCTACATCAACGACTTCATGTGCCATGAATCGGAACACGCTACTACTCAGAATCATCGCTGCCAATGGATCGGCGTAAGATGCGTCGAAGCCCGACGACACCAGCACAAAATCTGGTTTGAAGCTTTCCAGCGATGGTATCACGACGTTTCTAAAAGCGTATTCGTACGCCCCCGACCCGGATCCTGGCGGCAATGGCACGTTGACGGTAAATCCGAGTCCTTTGTCTTCTCCTCTCTCCGTGATTTTCCCCGTATCTGCTGGATAATTGTTTGCTTGATGAAGTGACACAAACAACACGCGATCATCGTCGTAAAAAGCTTCTTGGGTCCCATTACCGTGATGGACATCATAGTCCACAATGGCGATCTTCTTGATCTGAGACGAGTATGTTTCCAGCAAATGTTTAGCTGTAATGGCTACATTGTTTAGGAGACAGAAGCCCATGCCTCTATCTGCGACTGCATGGTGTCCCGGTGGACGCGTGAGGGCGTAAGCAGTATCCACCCGACCCTCCATCACTGCATCGACAGCAGCGAGGACTCCTCCAGCCGATAGCCGCGCAATGTCAAAGGCTAACTGAGAAAATGGAGCTTCCTCTCCGGCATTGCCACCTTCCTCCCGAGCTGATAGTTGCTCCAGCTCTTCCAAATATCGACGGGTATGTACACGTTCCAACTGGATCATCGTTGCGATCTGGGGCCTGATAGTTACAAGTTGATCCAGAAGCCCTGACACCGCTAACAGCGAGTGGAAGCGACGCTTAGTCTCCGGTGACTCCCAGTGACGGAACGGCTCAACAAATGCAGAGTACTGCTGGCTCCACGGTCGATGCCACAAGTAGCGCTCGTCATACACATAGCCGACCTTCATGGCAGCTCTCAATAAAAGTAGACACCACTTCAAGATCGTTTTGTGTGCGGCACACAAGTCAGCATCTTCTTTCGTGTACTCCACATAAAATGACCATCACTTTGCACTTAGTGCGCAATGGACCGCCTGCATCACGACCTGGCGACGCTACCTGGACTAGCGCCGCTGGTAAGGCTTACCATAGTTTTCTCTGTCCGTCAACACGCGTTTTAGTGGGTTCTTCTTGCTGCAGTCGGCGTCACAGCTGCGCGATATGCCGTGGAGAGTCAAGGAGACGGTATTTATAGTTCTCTTCCGAGAGGTGCGGATCAGTCCATTATTATTGTTTCTAGACTGTTAGAGCTCACATTCAGTGTCAAATCGACTTCGTATACGTACTGCAGCAAGTCTCTTCGGGTGTAGTGGCGGATGAGCTGCAGATCAAGAGCAGAGACCGCAAACTTGAGCGCAAGGCTGACAAATTGCTCAACGACGTGTGTGTGAGCTGCAATTCTGCTTCTACATGTAGTAAACATCGATGCAGCTATTGAGAGCTACTTGTTGACATATTACTACTTAGAGATCGAGTCGTGGTGCGGAAAAAGGAGGAAAACTATCGAGCGGACTTTATGCAAGTAACAGCTGCGGAACTGGCGGTACGTTGGCCTTAACCTCTTCAATAATGACAGTGCATACTAAAGACCATATTCCTTGCAGAGACTGGGAGCACCAGCGCTAATTACCTGGCAGAAGCTTGTGTTTGATAAAGAATGCTGTGCTCAAGCATTTCGACTGCTGCTCACGCGGATCAAATCGTCGCGACGGAGTGGGGCAAGTGGGGTCAGTACCAATAGCTCTTCACTACTTGCCGCGCGTTATGCTGCATCGCGTCAGAGCACAAGATGTGAAAGGGACGACGATGCACAAGACGATCGTGGCGACATCCAAGACGACACAGCCGAAGACGACGAAGTTACACGTCGCACGAGGTTTCCTCCATTAAAACCGACTTCAAATCGACTTCACTGTCTCTCAGCTACTCGTAAGAAAGACAGCATCACCTCCCAGTCTTCTTTGAGCAACAATAACACAGCGTTAGATTGGAACTTTGACACGACGATCGATTCACCTTTCGAACAAGACGAGCTTGAAGTGCGAACAAGTCGTCACCAGACTGGAGCGGGTATTTCAATCGAGCGGACACTTCCAAGCAAGCCATCGTACTTTGCATCGAAGTTTAAGAAGAACTCGATGCAGATTTTACAGGAAGAAAACGCCGCGTTAACGAGCGAGAACGTTAAACTGCGGGAAGAAATCAAGCAACTAGAGGCTCTAAACGCCGTGCTCCAGTCCGATAACTCCAACAACGGAATGCTGGATGCTCATCTGGACTCCGTAGAGTTCGCACAGAAGCGCATGAGACTATTGCAAGCACAGAACATGCAGCTTCAGCGACAAGTGAGGCTACTACAAGAGGCGATGCAGGCTCATGACAATGCTGAAACGAATTTGATGTGTGCGCTGAACAATTGGCGCTCTGTAATTGAAGCTGGGAAGGAAGAAGCTAGAGCTGCTGGCGCCGAACAGAATACGACTGAACCAGAAGAAACTGGAGCTCGACAGCCGATCAAGTGGATGTTGGCTGTACCTGATAAGCTCATGAACGAACTGACGCGTGTAGAGGCGCAAATCCGAGGCACAGCGACCGCTATGAACGTCTGCTATGAGTCAAAGCTCCGTGTCAGTGACGTGTCAACCTCATTTTTACGTAGCCAGGACACGTCGATGAAGATGAGTGAGCTCTACACTGGAGCGCCGTTAAGTATCGCGCATCTGCGAGTTGATAGAGTGAAGCAACTAGAGAGTACGCTGGCTGCTGTATCGACACAACTGGATGCTCTGAGCGCTCAAGTGCTGCAGCATTGTCCCCCGAAAGTCTCAACTATTGACCCTCTACGCTCGAGTGCGTATGAACTGGGACGAAGTATACGGGATTTGCTTCTCGAAGTTGCAGCTTTTGGTGTTGTGGTGCCAACGTCAACTCGAAATGCAGCAAATGACGACGGTGTAACAGCTGGAGATATTATGACGACGTTATCGTCCAGTGCAAAAGGTCTTGGGGGTGGGAAAGAACGCGAGAGACAAGCGAAGACGATGCTGAAGCAGCTGCATGCTCGATATACTGCTGTTGAGAACGACATGATGGCTGCTCGGAGAGAGGCTGAGTACTGGCGAACCGCATGGTGTACACAGGATGAGATTCTGCGTAGGTTGGCCAAACGTGTACACAATCTTGGCCAGAAGAAAGTGGAGTGGTGTCGACGTTATTTGTTGGCTCCTATGGCGAATTTGTCAGAGGTGTTTACATCTTTCCAGCAAGTGTACGATGAGAACACTAGTCGTCAGAATCCGTACCTGCCGCTGCTAGTGGAGACGTTGAGTATGGAACATCCAGTGCTGCAAGATGCATTGCAACAATGGCGAGATTATTCAGATGATGTTCAAGTGAAGATGGATGAGTTAGTAGAAGACTATGAGGCTAATCGAATCGCTCTCCTCTCGTCTACTGATGGTACACTCTCCAGTACGAGCCAGCAAGTTCCGGTACGCTGAGATTAATACGCTGTTATTAACATGTAGATACCCAGGGCTGCTGTGAACTGAGTCTACGCCTTGTAGACTGGTACGACGAGAGGTGAGGTCGAAGCGGTAGCCACAGGAGCATCAACGACTATCATGACGATTTGCTCGATCTCCTCTGGAGTCTTTCCGCGTCCAGCGAGCTCCTCGACTACACGCTGGCGATCTTCTTCGGCCAGAACGTAGCGTTGGCTGCCAACTCGCTGCAGTGCGGTGGTAGTTGGGGCAGTGCTTGTACGGGGCTCCACGATCCTCCAGGCCTCGCAAACTTCGCGCAATTGGTTCGCACACTTGACGACATCGTTCTCATCGCATTGAAGGACGAGTCCCGTGTTGCACGACACGAAGTACAGAGCACAGCAGAAGTAGTTCGAGTGCGTCTCCATCGTGAAGAACTCACGCTCTCCAGGCTCTTTCGAGTCGAAGACGCATTCCCCGCTTGAGCGAACTTGAAGGTAGCGCCCATTGTGAACGGACTGGATGGCGACCTTATCGTCACGGACACGACGTAAGATCATTTGCTCGTAGAAGTCGCGGTTGTCGGTCAGGCAGTGCGCTTTCTTGGTGCCGAAAGGGCTCTGCAGGGTCTTTTGGCGAAAGAACGACCAGAGGATCACAGGCACGTTGAACGGGATGTCGGTAAGATCCATGGGGAAGGGAAAAGCTCGAATGGCGGGATGGAAAATGAGTCATGATTCGCATTGAATGGGTTAACTTGAGTAAAGTTGCCCGAACCTTTCTGCGAGTAGCTAATGGGTGAATTCGTCACCGCGCACGGAACTTCTGATACGTCGTCATCATCAGAAGTCTCGACGCAACTAACTTGTAGCATTTGATAGGATGAAGTGGGCTTGGCACTTCGTTGCCGCCGCTCATAGCCGAATTCACTTTTGATAAAATACTTCAAGTCACCATTAGAGTTTCTCATATCTGCTCACTGTCAGTGAATAACTGAACCCCGTTCAGAAGAATTCACAAGTCAGAAATTATATTGACACTGCGTGTCGTTCTAATTTATATTGACTCTACTACATGTAGTCTGGCGCTATGTATTATAATGTTAGTACTTATAATAAGCACTACGTAGAACATGTACTTCTACGATATAAGCATTCCGTCAAACTATTTTCGTCAAACGCTGACGACACGTGCCCAATCCAATGAGAATGCGTTTGGATCTGGCAAGCTACGGTTGGCACCCAAATAGCATGCTCCTAAATCTATTCTTCGGACTACATGTATTCTAATTATTGCCTCTACAAATAATGCTAAGTTTAAATAAACTCGTTTTTTTTTTTAAGTTCACGACAGAGAAATTCGCCGACCCACTTGGTTTCCAAGTGCTGACTTGTATGTATGGTATCATCGTGCCCCGCCTAGTAATAATTGTTAAATACCACAAAACAAAATGTTGGTGAAACTGAAAAGATGATCAAGATAAGGTTAAAAGTCATGACGATTCTCCTAGCTTCTCCGTATAAGGCCGCCTTGAGCACAGCGAGATTTTTTGCTGTTAAACGTGGTGCCATCCATAAACAGTAAATGAATGCAAGATGTATGGAAGAAATCCAGCATCTGCCTTGCCTACTCCTTGTCGACTTGAACAGCAAGAGCCGAGCCTGAAGCTATGGCAAGTGGAGCATCAAACAGGCTCGTCACAATTTGCTCGATCTCGGTCGGTGTCTTCCCGCATCTCGCGAGCTCCAGAACCAAGTGCTGACGGTCTTTGCCCGCAAGGACGTAGCGGTGATCCACAGCTCGCTGCGGGTGGGTGGCAATTGAATTTATACGGGGCTCCACGATCCTCCACGCCTCCCAGTCTTGACGGTTCTGGTTTGCACACCTGGCTTCATTGCTGTCGTTGCAATGAAGGACATTCCCCGTGTGGCACGACACAAAGTACAGCGCACAGCTCGAGTCCGTCTCCATGGTGAAGAGCTCCCACTCGCCAGGCTCTTTAGGGTCAAAGACGCACTCTCCATTTGCACGAACTTGGAGGAAGCGTCCATTGTGAGCTGACTGGATGGCGATCTTGTCGTCACGGACACGATGTAAGAACACTTGCTCGTAGCGATCGCGGTTGTCGGTTAAACAGCGAGCCTTCTTGGAGCCAAGCGGGTTCTGCAAGCTTTTTCCTTTGCGGATTGACTGAAGGATCACTGGGACGTCGAACGAAATCTCGGTTAGATCCATGGCGAAGCTTTGGGTGTACTGATTGGATGAGCTCAAAATGGAAAGTGCGATGAAGAAGGAGAGTGCCAAAGGTAGCCTTCTACATAAAATGACTGGCTAGGACAGATGGAAATCTATAGAAGAAAGCAGCCTGGCCTTCAGAATGAAACTTACATTCCCCTCGCTGTTACGTGAACTGACCCGACAAACGGAAGAAAAAAATTGTGATCCGCAGTTTTACTTATTGAAACCCGCACGTCTGATCGTAGTCGTATTCAACATATACGAGGTTTTGGGCGATCCGAGTGATCTACTAAACCCACACGAGGCTCCAGGATCCACCTCGACTCGTTGCGTTGATAATTCTTGTTGGTGCACTTGACGACGCCGTCGACCCCACATTGTACATGTAGCACATTTCCCGTTTGACACGACACAAAAAAGAAAGAATCTGGCCTTATTTCGAAATATTCGCTAGGACCGAATTGTGTCGCTTAGAAATTACACGCACCAGTCGAGAAAACCGTAAGAAAACGCTTGTTGTAGACAGACTGGATGGCGACCTTATCTTCGTGATATCCGTGGTGTAGACAAATCTGCTCGTAATAATCACGATTGTCTTCCAGACTGCGTGCATTCTTCGATCCGTGAGGGCATCGTAGATTCTTGTGGCGAACGGATTGTAAATTAATTGAATACGCGAAAAATATTACATACGGGACCTCTTGTTGAGAATATGCCTTCTGATAATTTGAACTGTTTTGAATTTTTGTTTCGGAATTTTGTTTTCGGAATTTTGTTTTCTTTTCCAAAAAAACTGTTTCCATGAAAGGCCACTTCGAAAGATACCAGACGTATGAAGACGCCTGTGTCCGCTTCAGACACTTGTTTGTACGGCTCTGTGGTGGGAATGGAGAAGATCTTGGCACTAGATTTGCACGACAACCAATCCATGGACCCGAAGGCAACTTCTCCGCCCTCGGAGTGCGATGAATGCGAGCAAAGGACGGCGCAAGTGAACTGCGACGAGTGCGGACTGGTGTATTGCTCGCAGTGCGACGTCCACAGACACCGTAAAGGCAAACTACAACTACACCAGCGCGTGCAGATCACAAGGAAACGAGTCGACGCGCCAGAACTTGAAGAAATTCAGGAGCAAGCCGAAAACTCCACTGCAAACTGGAAAAATGACGACGTGTGCGAGTGGCTGAAAGCTCACGACCTGAAGCTCTTTGTAGACGAGGCACAAGAACAACAGATCACTGGAGCGACGTTACTGTCTCCAAAAGGCCTGGAAAGGTTTCTGGATGCTGCAACAGGGGTCAGTCGTGGCCACAAGAAGAAACTTCAGAGGGAGGTGCAAAAGCTCCAAAGTTCGGTGAAAAGCCCGGCTTCAATTGCAAAAATGACGCTACTACCGACCCCTTCGCCGCCCATTCAACGCCCCAATACCTCTGTACGTCGTATTGGATTAAACTTGCGTGTTGATGTCGAACCAGCGGCATCAAAGCCTCCTTCCCGACGAGGACTGGGGCAGTTGAAGATTGAAGTGAACGAGGACAATCACGCAGCTATCTCAGCTCCGAAGCGAATTGCAGGTGGCCGACAGAACGCTGGCTCGTTGGGTCTGGATATCGCACAGGTCCGGAAGGAGGAGAAGACAGTCGCTGCATCGTTTGACTTCTCAGCCACAGGGAGACTGCAGACGCAAGGCTTCGAGATCGACGTAAGCGATTTATACCAGGAGGGGGTTATATAACGACGCTGAGCTAACTGAATATTGTATTGCAGACACGAGGAATCGCTAACGCGCCATTCTCGAACTCCAAACAACATTCAAACAACGGATCGAAACCAGCGTCAGCTATTGAAGCCATCAGCACAAAGGATTACCTGCTTATACTCGAAGAGTTGGGTCATGGCGCTGGTGGGAAAGTATACAAGGCATTGTACATGCCAACATTCCGACTGGTGGCTGTGAAAGTTATTCGAGTATACGACCAGAAGAAACGTCACCAAATGGTGCGTGAGCTCAAGTCTCTGTATGTGAATTTCGTCCCGCTTGCTACTGCCACATTTCCATCGGCTACATCGTCAGCCACACAAGCAGCGTGCGAGGAGCTTGTGGTGTTCTACGACGCATACACAAACCCCGAGCTCGGCTCCGTGTCCATTGTGCTCGAGTATATGGACGGCGGATCGCTGGAAGACTACGTGCAGTCTGCCTGCGAAGAAGGCGGATGTTTGACCGAGAAAGAGATCGCAAATGTAGCAGCTTGTGGCTTGAAAGGACTGGTGTTTCTACACGAACATCACCAACTTCATCGCGACATTAAGCTCAGTAACATGCTCATTAACTCTCAAGGCCAAGTCAAGGTAAGTTCGATATCCTACTGGCGGTCGAAGATACAATTATAACAGACTTGTGTTGCTTGTAGATATCGGATTTCGGCATCTCCCGGGACCTCGAGAGCACTCTAGCCAAGGCAACAACATTCACAGGCACCTTATTGTAAGTACTTGAGTAGATGGCTACACGGTTTCTATTTTGATACTAACATGGGTACATGTTTCTTAATTGTCAGATACATGGCGCCTGAGCGGATAAGTGGAGGTATGTACTCCTACCCGTCAGATCTTTGGTCCTTCGGACTGGCAGTGATGGCTTGTGCCATCGGAAAGCTGCCAGTTCCAACGAAAGATGGCTACTGGGGTGTCGTGCATGCAGTACAAGAGCAGCCATCTCCACGACTTCAGGACTACGGTGACCATTTCTCGCCGGAACTGTGCGATTTCCTGGACCAGTGTCTTCAGAAAAACCCGATGTATCGTCCTCCGGCAGCTCGTCTTCTCGAACATCCTTTTATTAAGAATAATTACTCGCTGAGGGAGCAAGAAAATGTCCGATTGAGTCGCGATCAGCAGCCACCGACAGCAAAGGCACTTGAACGTAGTCGTCAAGAACTGCGGAATATTGCTGACAAGGCTCAGATCTGGTGTCGGGACCACGCAGATGGTGTACGAGGGCTTTCGTCACAAGATATGTCCACCCACAACAAGGTCGAGGCGCTGGCCAAACAATTGCGTCTATCGGTGGTTGAAGTAGCGTCACATTTTACGTTCCTGGACGAGTATTGTAAAGCTGAAGATAAAATACCAACTTGAGATAGATACATTTTTGAAAATGGCTACAAAATTTGCAACAGTGCAGCAACATTATCCAAGCGTACACTGGTTACATATTCACTTCCAGAGATACTCGGATCAAAGATGGCGGGGTTAATGCGGTACTTCGCTTCGCTCTTCTTGCTGTGTACAACCGCTCTGACGCTCCCCTCACTACCTGCACAAGCTGCAGAAGATCCTTGCCAACTTTCCGATGTGTTGTGGTTGTGGAGCGGCGCGTTGACGTCTCGCTCCATCACGTTCAAGGTTGGGTTACGCGAGGGTTACACCTGTGTCGATTCCGACTTCGTGCTGTACGCGTTCCCAGAGCTGCTGGAGGGCGAGAAACCCCATTCGTCCATTGCAACATGCTCAGATGTGGATAGTGGAGAGGCTGGAGAGGGGGAGGTGCGCAGTGCCGCGTCGTACGATACCCCCAACGTCAAAGAATGTACCCTCTCAGACCTCCCACATAGTGATAGGAAATATCGCTACGAATTGACTTTACTCAGAACTGGAGAAACCGTGCGGTCTGGAACCTTCACGACACCCCGAGAGGAAGGGGAACCGTTCAATTATCGCGTCGCTTTCGCCTCCTGCGCCGATGAAATGTCCGATCCTGAGGTACGCTACAATTCCATTAAGTAATAATTTTTACTAAAAGGTATTCATTATTGTAGGTTTTTGAAGAAATCAGAAAAGAAAACGCGCTCTTCTTCATGCATACGGGAGATCTGCATTACCACAATTTAGTCGTGAACAATGTAGCAGCATTTCGAGATGGATACAACTCGATATTTGCATCTCCAGCGGGTCAAGCGATGCTGGCGATGGACGTTCCATTCGTCTACATGTGGGATGACCATGACTTTGGTCCGGATAATAGCGACTCGACTGCTCCTGGACGCAACGCATCGGTCCAAGCGTATCACGAATTCGTACCTCATTATCCTCTAATCGGAGGACGCTCACGCTCCAGTACCGTGCACCAAGCCTTTACTATCGGTCGAGTTCGGTATCTCCTAACTGATCTACGCTCTGCAAGAACGCCAAATACCGCCCGCGCAGCACCTACTAAGACTGTGCTTGGTAAGAAACAGAAAGCGTGGTTTAAGAGTGAACTTGTCCGTGCCACAAGTGACCCAAATATCCGACTCATAATTTGGGTCAATACCATGCCGTGGCTGGATGATGAGCGCAAATGGGGACATTTCGTACACGAACAGCAAGAACTTGTGAATTTTATCAAAGCACACGGACTTAACAAATGGGTACCCATTGTGATCGTGAGTGGCGACGCACATATGTTGGCAGTAGACGACGGAAGTCACAGTCCTGGAAATCTTACGGTACTTCACTCTGCTGCATTGGGACGTCCCGGCTCGATCAAGGGAGGACCATACAGTCACGGTGCCTTCCCGGGCTCGGGACAATATGCTGTTATGGATGTTACGGACGAAGGAGGCGAAGATGGTCGCGTGTGTCTTTATTACCGAGGCATGAATATCTACAAAGGGAAACTGGTAGAATTCGACACATGTTATCCGGAACGTACTCCTCCAGTGACTCCGTATTATCCGCCGCCCATCCCTATACGCATTATGAAGCGTGTATTCAAGAAAGCCAAGAGATATACTGGTACTGCAGTCTTTGTACTGATCTCTGTCGTTGCTCTTCTTGTCTACAGAAACAAACGTCATGCTGTTCACACGAAGAAACATAGTTAAAAAAATGTTTGTTTTACAACTTTTTTTATTTTTAAATACCAATTAAGGAAAAAAAACATGTTGTGGCTAGTAGGCAGCGACAGTATCAGGGAGGAAATCCGTGACGCCAAGAAGATGCATCAACGGTTCGAATCCAATAGCGAATTCTACATATTGCAGACGACAAGTAGGAGCGAAGCAATAGCAGATCATAGCATCGAACGGGAGATGCACATGTCGTTCCAATGACGTCGAGTTGGCTTCACTTCCATCTGCTTCTTCATCCGACAAAGTCGACGTCGACTCGATGCTCATTTGTCTTAGCCGTCGCTCCACCGACGTGTTTGTCGATGGTGATAGCGACAAACACGTCGCTTTAGACGCAATGACGTACGTTTTCTTCGAGATCCGGTTGGTCGCTGTCAAGTGGAACCCAAAGACTTCACGTTGTCCGTCATACGGGATCTCTAACGGATCACTTTCTTCAGCCCCACGAGCTCCAGTGGACGTAGCTGAGTCTGCCACTACATGTTCCTCTTCTTGCGTCATATGAGGGATCTCTGGAAGTTTACCATAGGAAAGAAACACTCGTAACGCGTACGACGAGGTATTCAGGAACACCCCTTCTCTCTGGACTGGTAGTACATATCTCGCATCACCAACTTGTACCATGGCGTCAAAAGTCCAATCCAATGGTCGATATTGCAGCGGGTTGAATAGATACAACAAGTACGTGTTGCTGACTAACGCGTTGACGCACAGTTCGTCTCGTTGCAGTCTGTATCTCAGCGTATTGTCGTCAATACTTATTGTCATCCCGGACAGCTCGTGGAGTTTTAAAGATGAATATGTAGCCATCTCCTCTATACTTTCTCCAGCTAGTTGGACTCGATCTGGGGTCTCTTGGATTGTAGCTGGAGGCGCTAGTGGACGGTAGATAACTCCGTCAATTGAAGCCCAGACTTGCATCATCATCAGAGATGACTGTAGAAAGTCGGCGTCTTCTTCGTCGTGAAATTTGTGGGTTACTCTTAATAACGAGTTTGTATCGAGTAATACTGGGGCTGGGAAGATCTGGAACAACTCGCTCTCGAAGTTAAGCGAGCCTCGCAGGGCTGCAACGGACGTCATGAGACTGATGTGTTCACTTAAGAGGCCTCTGGCTTCGTCTACAGACACCATGCCGATTAAAGTCGAGATCTCCTGGATCGAGCGGTTTATTCTTAATGAGAGGTCGAACATTCGCTTACAGCGGTTGTATACCACCGCTCTCTCCTTGGAGCACATGAGCGGTGTGCCTCTCTCAATAGGAAAGAAACGTGTTTCCCCCCGATTATTCATAAGGTAAATGCGGGCTGTGACCTCATCCACCGCCTTGCGACGGAACTGTGAGCGCAGTAAGAAGCAGCGCCGCCATTGGCAAGTGGCGAAGCGCAACTCTCCGAAGCGTTTGATGGTGCGCAGACGCCACTCTAGCTCGCAGATGCTGGACACGTCGTGAGATATCTGGGATAGGCGCTGCAGCTCCGACAGCGAGCAGTAGCTGAGCACGAAAGGCAACGGCGCTAGAACGGACGCGTCGCTCATTGATGACGCTGAGTTGCTCGAGTCTGGAGGGGTAGTACGCATTGAGGAACATGGATTAGTGGGGCTGGAGATCTACAACCCCAAAGAGCGGTAGCTCCGTACCGGATGGAACGCAGAGAGCCTCCATTAGGTGTGCGTTAGGAAGCCCCGCGTATCGTATTAATAGGACCAGTCTGGTGTGCTCAAATTCACGGACCCAAAATTTTTAAAAAGTAAAAAGTATTTTTTGGCAATTCTTTTCTATCTTAAATTATGTTTCACAACTACCGTGCCGAAAAAGAAGAATGAAGACTGCTTCTAAATACTTGGTTCCTCTCAACAGTCTCTAGAGTCGACACAGTGAGCGCTCGTTCACGTCATCCTCGTATACTAGCTCATCACTTTTTCGCCTTCGGAGTGCGTATACTAGGGCCAAATGTTTTAAGCTACCAGCGGTAATTTCTATTGTAAGTTTAACGTTAGGAAGAAGACCGAAGTCTGAGCTGAACATCTGACTTAGATAAGTTTCCACATTCCTATAAAAAAATTAAGTTTTATTTCAAGACTTTAGTTTTCAGCTTTGTATGCAAGTAGCGCGCAGTGGAATTGTTGACCTACAAACTCCATTCAGTCTTCTCATTGATCGTTGGTCTACTGAAGGCAGCAAGGGTCGCGGCGAAATTCATTTGCGCGGCGACGTGCCTGTTCCTCGCGCTCTTGGCGACGGTCTTCAGCCATCTCCTTCATGAAGCGCATCTGCATTTGCTGCGCCTGATCTTGCTGGGCCTTTTGCTGCTCGAACATCCTCGACATCATTTCCGCTTGCAGCCGTTGCGATTCCACGAGCTGGCGCTGGTTTTGCGCCTCAACCTCCTTCCACTTAAGGTCACGAATTTCCTTGTCCTCCGTCAGCTGGCGGACCAGCTGCTCGAGCCGCTTGACCTCGGCCTTGAACTGACCGCTGTCAAGGTTGATGTCGTGTACATTGCTTTTGGGGATCACAATTTTGGGCGCTTTAGTCAGGGCCGCCGATTATGATATTTATATGAATGGAAGGCTCAGTGTGATCATAAATAATGTGACGTTGTCTAGCAATCGACTTCATAAATAATGTCATATCTGCTAGTGATAAATCAAATATGGTGATCGACTCGTACTTGTATTGATTAGCGCGTTATGGGCTACAGGAGTTGATCTACAGTAGAAACATCCCAAAAGCGCGAGTTTTCTCGTAGAAATAGGATCATTTCAAGCGTAATAGGCTGTAGGCCATTACGCTCGTGCCCAAGAGTTGTGCGAGCAATACTGAAGAATCGCTCCACCTTGTTCGAGGTGGCGGGGATGCTGCCAACGAGGCAGTACCGAGCTTCTCTTGCTTCAAGACGGTGACGTTTCTCCAGCCGCTGCACAAGTGACTCCGGTTCGGCTTCTTCGCTATGGTTTGTCGGGTCCGTGGCTACTTCGAGAAATGGACGAAGAGCCCGCTTCTCCGACGCGGTGAGGCGGGCTCTATTTTTTTTTAGTACACGGACACAGCCCGACTCAAAGTCTGGGCTATGAACGATATTTGCTCGAGGTCCTGCGTGTAGCATAATTAGTTAGTGAATATTAAAAAACAATAGTAACATTGGATAGCGTACCGATAAAAGCAGCGAACGCGGGATGGGCTTCGATAAGCCCGTCGAACCAGACTCGCACGTCCAGTAGGCTCACACTCTCCGCTTGTAAGGCCTTGGAAACCGACTCGAAGTCCTTGAGATCTGCGTAGAGCGTCTTAAGACGACGGTTGCATGCCGCAGACGGAAGCAGGTCCTGAAGTTCTTCGTCGTCTTGGTCTAGGAACTCCAGTAAAGCGAAATAGCGATGTACCATCGCGAAGGTGGACCCCCAGCGAGTGTCCTGTCGAATGACTGGGCGAAGTGGAGTCTTAAATCTAGTAATAAAAACACCAATTAAAAATATCATATTAGTGGCATAATAGTAACACAACAAGGTATTAGTATTAATATCAATAGTAAAGTAAAAATTACTTACCGAAGTTTCGCCGACTGCTTAATCGTTCTCAGCTTGGTCATCAGGGCTTGCACTGCAGCCAAATCGTCGTCGTGTTGGGCCATGTGCTGACGAACGGCTCGATTTAGTCGGTGACTAGAGCATCCAACCAAAGGCACTTGCATGATGGTTGCCAACCGCCTGTTCACAGAACAGTTGTCTCCAACCAGGTACTTGCAGCATTTTACATCCTTACCATAATCTCGCTCGAACATTCCCACCAAAAACTCGCGGTGGGTACGGGCCGACAAGTCCTCGTCGGGCTCGTTAATCACCGGGGCCATGCTCAGAAGCGCCGTCTTAGCAACGCCATCGAGCTCATAGAACGCAAACACTGCGACGTAATGCTCGGATGAGTGGGTCCACCCATCGAACATGATGCCAAAAGCATCCGGTAGCTCTGCCGCAATAGCTGCTTCAACGGAGCGAGTGACGCCTTCGAGCAGCGCACGCAATGTTTCCACTGAGATAGGCTCCAAAGAAGTGTACCTAATCAAGCATATTCATATTAGTATAACCATTATTATAGAGTAGTAATAGTAATTCATACCGGCGAGCGAGAGGGTTCTCACAGAACATGAGAGGCAGATTTGCCTTTACAACCCACTCAAGCCAGCCGAACCGGTTCACGGCCGTGCGGCGAGCATAGTGCACCACCGAACCGGTTTGAGCGGTTGTGGCTGCTAGCATCTCTTCTTGGAAGGCTGGATGCTCGCTGCGCACATGCTGCATGAGATTGGTGTAGCCATTTCGGCTCGTCTGCTTGCGTACCTTACCGCAGCGGCAGCGAAAGTACTCCGGCACAAGCACATCGTACTGGTCACGGCACGGTGAGTAGAAGTACGCCACAATCTGGGCGTTGGAGAAAGTTGACCGGGGACGACGCGTAGCTAGCATGAGGTGTAGAGCTTGTAGGAGAAGTAGAAAATTGGAAAGTGAGGAGGCAGTGTGTCGGATAGATGTTTGAATATATGATTGGTTCGGAGAGGCCAACCGAAGGTAAGCTTTTCCGCATACTAACCTAAGTAAGAAGTGTACCTTCTCATAAATTATGCATGAAAATAGTACCTTGGTGGCATAAATTATGATCTACTACTTTTCACGACTCATAAATAATGTGATAATATTTATGACCATTACTGTAAGTGCCATTTATTTTTCGGCGGCCCTGCCTTTAGTACGGAGGAACACCTCCAACTCGTCCGGCACGTTTATTAAGGCGTTGTCGACTTCGTTTAACGTGCCTAGCATGGGTAAAAAGAGGATAGACCCCGTGCTGTATTTACCCGAGTAAAGGGACCGCACTACACCCTTGTACTCGTCGCCCATCTTCATCATGAGCTCGTGCACTCTTTTTCCGGATTGGTTAACGATGATGGAAAACTCGATATTGGGCGCGTGAACTGAGTCCAGGACCTCCGTGATGGTCGCAATGTCATCGGGTTTGCCGCGACCCTGCTGCAAAGTGACCACGAAGAAGATTTTGTAGATGCCATCTTCTTGAAGTGCCTCCTTGATTGACTTTGCAGCCGTCTCGCGCAACTCCGTGTCGGCCAATCCTGCGTATCGATGTACACGATGTTGCCATGCTCGAAGCGCTGAAAGAAGCTTGTCTTGCCGGCGCCAAAACTCAAACCGGCCTCAAACTTCGCTTCGCCGATCAGACAGTTAATGAGCGTGGATTTGCCCGTGCCTGGATTCCCTAGGAATAACCAGTTCTCGGTATCGGACTGCGGCTGATTCGAGTGCGAGGTCGGAGGAGAATACGATGCCATCTTGAGAGAAGAAAGGAAAGTGAGGACAGCTTCTTAGGTAGAATTGGAGCGCTGCTTTCACTACCAGACCTTTTTGCAGTCAGTTCAGCTTTTAATTTCGTACCGAACGCACCACAATAGGTTACCCAGTGCTGTCTACATGCTAGTATTTCAGGAAACGCTAGCTTGGGGGAGGGCGCGCAAAACGAGAAGTGCCGCCCCCGCAGTTCAGGCGGATAGAACCTTCTAGAACCTTCTAGAAGGTTCCACGGCCGCCCTACATCTGCCTTTTTGTATTACATACTGAATCTATGTTAAACTGAGCCTGTCTCTGATTGGCTGAAACTCTACACCTATCATATCTGATACACTCACCCTCCCTCTGGCGTGCGCGTCCCCTCAGTCTTGTCATTCCCGAAATTGCGCTGAAGGCCAGAGGTGCCGTTCCCTGACGGATTAGTCCGACCCCGTGTTTACCCACGCTTGCCTTATGCGGGCCTATTTACTTGGGGCTTGGATAGGTCCGTCCTGGGGGATGGCTGTGCCTCCTGCGTCTGCTGCTGCTGCTGCCACTAGCTCGCCTTCCGCCGCTCCGCTCGCCGACGCCGCGTGCTCCTGCTGCAGTCCCTGCTGTTCCGGCTGCCATGGTCGATGTTCCTGCTGGTGCTGTAACTCCACCGTCACCTGTACGGGCTTCTGTTGCTCCCTCGTCGCCTGTACGGGCTCCTGTTGCTCCATCGTCGCCTGTACGGGCTCCTGTTGCTCCATCCCCAAACGACGCGGTACATGATGCGAGTGGAAGGCTTCGGGTTCTGAAATAACACTTCATGGGATGGTACGACGTTCGTGCTAGTGCTTCCGAAGCTGGTACGTGTTTCATGGATGCGCTCCGCTGCGCGCTGTACTATCTTGGTCAGCCCAATCTGGTTACCATGGAGATGTGGGAGGAGTATGAAAAAACTCGTCCCGAGGCGATTGCGTTTGGTGTATCTCGCGAAGACGTCACGGAGTTCTGGAAAACGCTTCAGCGCCAACGTGTTCCGCTGGACTACGGCATCATGCTTCCCAATATTCTTCATGAATCCATCGGGAGTGTTGCGACTCTGAACCACTTCTTTGAAGCCTTGGTTCCGGGTACGTACTTGGTGAGCGCGGGCCAGGATGACATCGGTCACTGTTTCGTCGTGGTGAAGACTGGTCCCAACGCTCGCCTGGTCGAGCTTGATGGGTACTCGGCTGACCACGATCCACCGATGGAAGTGTCTCCTCTCTCGAACTACCTTTGGATTGAGAGTGTAAAGTGGATTAGTCGTGTTCAGCTTCAACTTGGGTACGTGTGTCGTCACGGCAAACGCACTTCGAAGACGGCGCGTAACCGGAATTAGACGCTTGATGCAGCAGTAGCTTAAACTTGGAGGGGATGTAGTACGAGAATACATGTAGGCCTTTGTGCCCCCCTTAAGTTGATTTTACTTCATCTTCTCTTTCGTTTCTTGCGCCTTGCAGTCTCAAACTCTACGATTAGATCTGGGACTTGTGACAAGTTTTCAACCGGTTCCCAGGTCTGCTTCTCTTCTCCCACCCACTCCACAAGGAATTGGGTCCGTCGCTTGTGTGTCCTCTTCTTCACCAAGCGTTTGATGATCTGGCCGATACTTCCATCAGCCAGTACAACCTCGTTGGGTCGCGAAAAGCGTGTCGACTCGTTGTACGGCTTCAGCGAACCCGTATTGAATACTGGGTGAAGCTTGTTGCCAGCTTGAATGTTAAGTTCGTAAGCATGCTTGTGTATCTTCCGCACAACCGAGTAAGGTCCAATCCACTTCGGACCGAGCTTAGTGGATGCTGGCAGACCAGTGTGCTTGGGGTCCAAGTGTTTGGTGCTCAAGTACACACGGTCGCCAACCTCAAAGACTTGTTCTTGTCGGTTCTTGTCGTAAACATCACGCATTCGCTCTTGCGTTTGAGCAAGTGTTTCACGGCAGCGAAAAAGAATAGCTGCTTGGCGCTCGTGAAACTCAGCGCCTCGGCGACGCTTTGCAACCGTATCGAGCTGCTCCGCTGCAAGCTGTAGCGAAAAGCTGCTAGCGCGTGTACGATAGCAAGTAGCTTCTCGTGCTGTGTTGGATAGTTGAGCTCCGCGGATTTCATCTTTCGACTGGTATACGCAATGGGTCGCTCAACTCCGTCCACGGCTTGGAATAATACTCCACCAACAGCGAATTTGCGTGCATCAGTGCGCAGATGCATGGACTGGCTGAAGTTAGGGAGGTGCAACACTGGAGGATTACACAGTCGCCTCTTCAGCTCCTTGAAATTCTTCAACTGCTCATCATTGAATTGGATCTTCGCGTACCTCTTGTTCTTCTTCTTCAAGAGAGTGAACATTGTTGCAGTAAATGCTGCGTAGTCTGGACAAAATCGTTGGACGTAACCAGTCAACCCAAGGAAGCTGTGAAGTTCCTCTTGTGCTCGTGGTACTGGCCAGTCCTTGATGGTTTGTACCTTGTCCGGATCCATCCGTACACCGTTGTGTCCTACGAAGTCCCCGAGACACGGAATCTCGTCGGCACAGAAGACACACTTGGCAAGCTTGACGTACAGCTTGTTGTCACGCAGGATATTTAATGTCTTGCGCAACGCCTTCAAGTGGTCGTCGATGCTCTGAGACTTCGTGAAAACGTAGATGTCATCATAAAACGATTTGGTGTTTTCCAAACCTCGGAACAGCTTTGACGTTAAACGATGCATCGTCGCTGGCGCATTACAGACTCCCATGGGCGGAACAAGATACTCCCAGAGTCCATTTGGCGCTTGAAATGCTGTGAACTTGATATCCTCTTCACGCATACGTACTTGATAGTACGCGGACATCAAATCCATAGTGGAAAACCAGTACGCTCCGGACATCGCGTCAAGAATGTCCTCCTTCCTCGTCATTGGGATACTTTGACGTACAGTGATGGAGTTCAAGTACCGGTAGTCGTGTACAATCCTCCAGCCAATTGGTTTTCGTACACAGAAGGTTGGAGCAGCATGTGGACTGATGCTTGGACAGATGAGCTTCTTCTTCACCATGTCTACCACCCAACGCACAATCTCGCGTTGCTGCTCTGGCGATTGACGCCATTGTTGCCGATACATTGCAAGATTCGGATCCTCCACGTCAATCCTATGCTCAATCTCGCGTTTCTCGAGTAAACCTTCTGGGAGCTCAGGACGGAACACATTGTCCATGTACTCCATAAGTAACTGGTACGCGGGATTCCCCTTGAAGCTATCCCAGTCCGTATCCAGATACCGTTGTGCTTTCGCACTTCCGACGTTGTCAGGTGTGGACCGTGAGGAGCTGCAATGAGCGCAGCAAACTTGAATGATCGTTCACGTTCGTACAGAACAAACATTAAAGTTCAGGTTTCTCGATCGGACTTGGTCTTGGATTTTCAGGACTTTTCGTAGTTTCCTTGGGAATGATGAAACTTTCGTCTAGAACAGTCAACGACACCCATCGTGAACATATTTTCCACGACAGTGCCTCTGCCCCCAGTACTGCTGCTATCTCCAGCCTCTCGTACAGTACCGCCGCGTTTCGACAATTCCAAGTTGTCCTTCACCGCCGAACCCTTGCCGGCTGACGCGTCTCCTGGTTGTTCGCAAACAACTCGTGGGCTCTCTTTCTGCGTTGCGTCGCAAACAGTTTCAGCCGCGGACTTCACATCCGTTTCCAGCGCGGCACCTCGACAGGAATCGGGTCTTTTCGCCGATAGGCCTTTCGCCTCGACAGATCTCCGAAGCCCGGAGGCAATCACCGGTCCGCCTTCCTCGATCGGTCCACTGGTTTCCCCTGTTCGCTTCCAATGCAGAGTCTTCACTTGCGTTCCTTCGATACATCGACCTCTCCAGTCGATCTGCGGCTGCATATCCTCGAAGAATGGGATTCCAAGGATGCAGTCGAATTCGTCGGGTATGGCGTAGACGACAGCGATACACTTGTATGCCTCGCCCAACCCAGACACCAGGATTTCGAGGGGAAGTACCTCCAGTTCCGTCTCGACAATCTGGTTGTCTCCAAGTTTCACACGAATGTTCTTACCAATGAACTTCGTGGCCTTGAGTCGATGTTTCTCGACCCACTGTCTGGACACGTAGATTGTGGTTGCTCCACAGTCCAACAGCATCCTTCGGGTCGAAATGGTCGCGCCACTAACGATGATTTCCCCCTCTACGGAGAACAGTGGACGCGACTTGTAGACGAGAGGGTTTTCGCTCAGAACGTTAAGGCTGACATTCTCAAACTTAACTGATCCGGCTACGTTCTCTTCCACGACAGGACCCTCATTCACTGACGTGGCTGCCCGTTTCCCTGCATTTCTTGCTCCTTCTTCCAAAGGAAGCAGTTGGTCTTGATGTGGTCAGGTTTCTTGCAGTGGAAACAGGTACGACTTTCGGCTCGTTTCGAGCTAGTCTTCGCCTTGAAACGCCCTTTACCACGAAACGTTTTTCCCTTGAGCGACTTGTCATGACTCGGCGCGTGCTCAATGGACGGCTTCCGCTTGTCTTGGCGAGTGTGACGTTCGCGCGACTCGTCGACGAAGTGTGTCACCTCGTACTTGACCGCAAGGTCCATTGCGTCACTCAGGGTCTCTGGGTTCTCGAGCTTGACATAGCAACGCGTGCGCGGCTTGAGACCGTTCGCGTAGTATAGTACTTGGTCAAGCACGCTCATTCCTTCAACTCTGAAGATCAAGGCTGAATACTCGCCATTGTAGGTCTCGATGTCCGCTGTCTGCTTGAGGCATTGAAGCTTCTCGCGCAGGACAGACTGGTAATTCGACGCTTCGAAGTGTTGGAGCACATGCTCACGGAAAATCCCCTCCGTGTGCTCCTCCGCTCGAGTTGTCGACGACCAGTGCAGAAACCATCCGGATGCTGGCTTTTCCATTGCCGATCCGGCGATTCCAGGAAGACGCGCGCTCGTGTCTTCAATTGGAATGTTGTTGATGCGGCAGGCGTTCTCGATCTGGAACAGCCATTCGCGGACGTCTTCCCCCCTCTTGCCCGTGAACTTGGGCAGATGGCTCGGCACTTTCGTGCGGTCGGCCATCGCTTGGTTCAGCCGATCGATCTCGGCGCGTAGCTGGGCGATTGTTGGCATGGGCTCCTTCTGGTCAGGTTGCTGGGACCAACAAGTGCTACCAGTATTTCAGGAAACGCTAGCTTGGGGGAGGGCGCGCGAAACGAGAAGTGCCGCCCCCGCAGTTCAGGCGGATGGAACCTTCTAGAACCTTCTAGAAGGTTCCACGGCCGCCCTACATCTGCCTTTTTGTATTACATACTAAATCTATGTTAAACTGAGCCTGTCTCTGATTGGCTGAAACTCTACACCTATCATATCTGATACAGCTAGCACATATACTTGCACATTTTTGCAGTCAGCCCATCCTCCAATAACCCACCGTAGCTGTTTGCTGAAGAAACATGGAAGTGCTTCTGACGTTATCGTCACGAAATTAACCCATCGCAGTGTTATATGGTCAGCCCATCCCACTGTCGTATCATCAACAAACGCACCAGTTAACCCATCGCATGTAATGATCGCAATGTTGCACTGTACTAGACCATTTGCAGTCCCAACTACTAACCCTTCCGCTTAAAAGAGCTTCGCAGGGGTGCTATCCAGCAAGAGTGGTTGCTTCGATCTTAAACGGTGCTTTTTCATAACATTTCTTACTACACACATATTTATACAGGACAAAGCATTCTATGTTCCTTTGCTTTTGTTAAAAAAAACATGGACGTTATGCTATCTTGGCGGTCGCACGAGCCAAACGGTACAGTAATATGAGAAGCTTATACTCGCTCCCATATTGATATATCAGCTAGGTTGTTCTTGAGGTTTTGAGGTTTTATACCTAGATTTTAGAAAAACCTCAAATACTTCGAAGTTGCACCTTTTTTGCCTGGTTTCCAAATTGATAGTACTCCACAAAGAGTTATTTCGATTGAGCTACTAAAACTAGGCAGAGTGGTTGAAATAGCTATCTTTAGTGAGATTTCGTTTCAACTCGAACTCGGCCAAAGTTTGTTTTTAGTGGAGCCTCCGTCTCTAAAACAGTATTTATCTCTTTAAAAGCGTGATGCAGAGATAACTTAACTATCTTTCTTTCCAATTGCAGCTGCAATTAGTTTTAGAACATATTCCGTTTGTGCAGCATGAAGCTGCATTTACTCGCGCAGAAGATTGTGCTGGCGCTGCTGTTGAAGCTGCTGCTGCTGCTATAGAAGTCTCTGCTGTTGCAGCTCGGAGCACCAAAGCTGAAGCTCTTCTCGTCGGAGCCCAATCTTGTGCTTCTCTATTTTCCTGCGCTGCAATGCTTCTGCTTGCTTAGTTTCCAACAAAGCCGAAAGACGGCGCCGCGTAGGCTTATTTCTATTTACCCCATTACTTTCTGCGTCATTTGTAGCCATCCGCTATGGTAAAGATAATATACCACGATTTTATAGTATTGAATTTAACATAACATACCGCTTCTCCGCTGTCTGCATTGATTTTTTCCCTGCGGCCTTTAAATCTTGTATTTTAGACGCAGCCTTGTCATTCTTGATCTGATGTTCGGTCTCAGCAGCGTTTTTAAGATGCTGCATCTGTTTAAGAATGCCATCGTCGTCAGTGTACACGTCGCCGAATCGACTTGCAGCTTCATTGCGTCGCTTGCGTACTGAATACTTACGAATTAGGAGGCTGGTGCGATCCCTGCACAATTTAAAGCTATCGTTTGTCCTCATACTTGCATTCAGGCGACTTGCTATTGCTTTCCAAGCCTCTTTGACCGTTTCCCGTCCGAAGCCAAACGGAGGCGCAGCAAGAACCTCCGCGAGCAGCAACTTGTCAGCTTAAGCATTAAGGCTAGACTTATGCTCTGGTGGATAGGAATAATAATCTAGTGTAAAACGAATGATTTTCTCGTGTATTCCCTTAAAACGGATGATTTTAGAGTGTTCTTTAGAAATCATCTCTAGTGTTTTTTTTCAAGTAAAAAACAAACGTAGACTGTCTAGGTAATGGAGATGTATACAAATGTATATCTGGATGGAAGTCAACAGTGGTTGGCCGTGGCGGCACTTAACTATTCTCATCGTGAGATACGATGAACAGCGCCAGCAGCGGCTCTAGCGGTAGTGAAACCGACGACGACTCGATGGTAGCATTTGAACGCACGTTTGAATCCATCTCATCACATCCAACACGCGACAGCGCACAGAATGCTATTGCATTACTGCCATTTGGCTCTCACTTTATGTACCAGTACGCGTTTGTGCGCTCTAAAGGACATCAGACATCTGGGTATAGGAACACGCTTCACCTGAAATGCGAGAAGTATGTCAGAATAGCAGAAGTGATTGACTTGAAGTCGTCGTTTGTCTTGGAAGAAGCTGGGGAGCACAAAGGAATCTCTACCGGGCGGGCCGTAGACGGAATCCGATTGTTTCTGAAGCGTGAGGCCGATACGATGCTTTTAGGGGGCGCGGGGCCTAAGAAGTGTTTGCAACTACTTCTGGCAAGACATGAAAAAGACGCTGATGTGATGGGGCAGCTTCCAACTGAGGGGCAGCTCAAAAACAGCAAGGCATACTTGAAAAAGTCAACAGCGGGTGAGCATTTTTCATTTAGGTATAATATTTTTGTCAAGCATATATTGCAAATAGCTACAGTGAACAAATGTTTAAGCATGTCATTATTCGAATGGTTCTACAGGACGATGGGAAATATCGACCCCAGTGGCGCTGAAAGACTGGTTTAGTGCACGAATGTGCGACTCAAGCGATGTCTTCTTTTTGGGATCATCATTCGACGACACGAACGATGGGGATACGTTTCTGTCCTATTGCGAACAGCAGAAGAGCGAACTTTTGGTGCTTGGCATTTTTTAGCACTTGTTTAAGGACGACAACGGAGCAAGGGCGACTTCGTTCGGACTTATCGTCACCAGTCGCTGTATGTTCCGCAACGTGCTGAAATACCAAGTCGCACAAGGCAGTCAACCCCTGGGGCCACTGACGGCACATACAAACTTCACTTCGGTATATCATTGAAACTTCACTATCTGAAATTAACTATAAAATGAGCTAATTTTTTATTTGATTTACCTCGATTTATTTGTAGGAGGCTGGACTTTGGTAGACATTGGTAGTTATGGCTCACGATTCACTGACAACACGTTTTAAAAACATTTATACCATGGGTATATATGCTGGTGAGGGCAGAGCACCAATTGGCTCTACCCATCCCTATACAGCACACTATGACACAACAAATGCATAACGACTTCTGTTAGACTTGTTCACTACAAGCCAGGGGGTCCTTGTAAACAGCACCGTTGTCTCCCAACAAGCAGATTTTAGCACTTAGGCTATACTTTTCGCGCAGGGGGTTCCAACACAACAGCAGATTTTGAAGTGTTTCTCAGCCGTTACTTTGCGGATTACAACGAACAGTACCTTAAAAGAACCGTAATGGTGTTCTCCTGATTGGATATAAAGCCCAAATTCATTGCTTTTGATTTGACAAAAATCGGCTCGAAATCGAGTTTTCGTCTATCATTTCCGCGCGCACTGTAGGAGCGACTACTTCGAACAGCTGTCCGGCTGGCTGAGCAGTATTGTTTTGTGCATCTGAACCTGGCGTTTGGTAGTCTGGACCATGCCAGCTATATCACCAACGCGTACGAAAACTGTCTGCAACACCTCGATTGCTGGCCACACCTCGCAAGAAAGGCTCGGGAGCGAGTATGCAATGACCAGAGTGCGAAAGTATATGACGCTACTGTGCTGCCGCTACTACGAAACTTACACGAATCTCGGTCCCGTGACCAAATTTATGCGCTGTCGAAGGTGATAATTAAGTTGATGAGAGAAAACGGAGGTGCCAATTGTGCGGAGTAGCTGGACGCGTATTATTAAGTGGAGCCATGGGAATCCTGGTTTATTACAGCGTCAGGGGTACCAGGTATCACACCCCACCATAACGCTATTTAAGCTCACCATCGTGTAAGCAAGGTGGACAATTTACGTGCCAGCACAGCTAATGTTTTAAACGACTCTCTTCCCGGAATTTTACGAAATGTTGGGCCTCGATTTGCCTCACACTTTGCTGAAGGTACGAATTTACATGTATTATATCTGTAACGGGCCTGGGGTGTCCGTTACTTGCTTACACGTAGTGATGAGGAAGCGTACAAGTCCAGTGATACTGAAACTAAGTCCTTAGTCTGAAGGAAAATCAACTCTGTTTTTATTTAGGTCCAGGGCGGCTTGCCTTGACCACTCAAATACACGTCAATTCCTTATTGATTGATTATGGGTCTGGCTCCCCATATTTCAACCAATAATATGACGGCAGTTCAGCACACGCTTCGTGTGCTGCTGCACCTACTTTTGTAATGCAAATCTACCTACTTATGTAATGGTGTGAACCACTACAAAGAACCTATAAAACTACCTACATATGTAACTTGGGAGGGCCCATTACATCACCCCCCTCTTACGACAGCAATCACCTAATGTGAGTGCACTTCGGAGAACAATCGGAAAAAAACTGGGAAATGGCGGAGAAGAGAACGCTTGCGAACTTGACGGGCGGGAGCTCCTGCGAAGCCCAGGAGCAGCACAATACAACTTGCGCGGACGAGAAGAACATGGCGCAGCAGACGGGGGCGGCGAACCAGGCAGGAAGCGGAACAACGCGGACGGCTGCAGCGTCGGCGACGACGCTGAACAGTGGGTGAACTGCTGATATCGCACCTGAGAGCGTGAGTCGACTTGGGGTTCGGCCCGGCGTAATGAACGAGGATATGAAGCCGTGGGCGCTGTACGACTGGTCCGGGGCGGTGACCCCGGACGCGCTGGACACCATGCAGGACCACTTTCGGCGCTTCAGGCGTCTCCGGAACAAAACACTCGACGGCGCGTCGTACGAAGCTTTGCAGAGATCATGGTGCGCATTCATCCGGCCGTGGAATCGATGCAAGAGGCTGGAGAAAGCGTCGTCGGCTGGCTCGGTGATCGCGAAGCCCTACAAGCCGAGCATTCACTCGGTTATCTGCGCCTGAAAGTCTGCGACGACGCTTGGACCGAAAATCGTTTGTTCTATGTCAACGTACGCGAAGGTTGCAGTTCGTGTGACATCGGGCGACGCCCGACGCAAGCTGAGTGGGATCAGCGTATTGTCGAGTATCCGCGCATGCCGACCGAACACGCTTGGATCGAAAAGTATAAGCGCTCACTCTCCGAGTTAACCCAGGCGGCTATTCGCGGCGGCTCGCGCCGACAGCGTTCGCGACGGAGCCCGTCTCCGGCGCATTCGACGTTTCGTCGGGCGCGTAATCGATCGCGTTCTCGATCGCTGCGAGGTCGCTCGCGGCCGCGTTTGACTCAAGGCTGGAGTCGTAGTCGTGGACGACATCAGGAACGTCACGAAGCAAGTTGGCGCGAGGCTCCCACGTATCATCAGCAGGTTGAAACCCGAGCCATCGTACCTTATACTTCCGCGCGGCGGGAGCCGAGTGTTGAGCCGACGACTTGGTCGAGTGACGCGTGCGGGAAGGATCTTCCTGATCAACAATACGGTCCACGATCCAGCACGTATCTCCCTTCGAGTCAACGATGGGCGGAGAACCGTCGCGGTGGAATTCGACGCGACCTGGTTGATCAGGACGATGTTGAGCAGGCGCTGAACGCTTCTCGGGACGCACAGGAGGAGGCCGAGCGGGCGGCTGAGAGCTCTCGGAACGCCGAGACGACGGCGAGTAGTCTGCGGCAGTCGAATCGTGAACTCTTGCAGCGACTGCGTAGTCTGGAGGCGCAGGTGTTTGGCGGACCGAGGAGTGGAGATTTTCCGCGCGAGCGGGGAACTGGGACAGATGGGACGCTGGCTCGACAGGCTCGTCGTGAGGGCCGCTCAACGCATGCTCCTGTCCCGCCTCCGGGATTATCGCGGGAAGATACTTCTTAAGTCGCTCGACGTAGTACGTCGGGTGTAGTCGTAGCGACGTAGGGAATGTCTAGCGTGTAGGCATCACCCATAAATCGTAGTACTTTGAATGGCCCAATGTAGCGCGGCGCGAGTCTGCTCGCGCCTAGGTTCGTAATAGCAGAGGTAGGAATTCCATCCGTTGAGAGTAATACACGCTCATCAATCTTGAATGCACTTGTGTTCTTGCGGCCACGTTTGTCAGCGTTTTCCTTCTGCTTGTCAGCCGCGAGTTGTAGCGCGTCACGGACGAATCGGGTAACCGATTGGCGATGAAAAACAAAGTCGGATACCGCTGCCTTGTCAGCGGGTCGCGCTGGAGGTTTCGGCGCGTATTTAGCCACAGTCGAGTGTGGCTGTGCTGGAGCGATCAGCGTTCGGTGTGTCCAGTCAGCTAACGGCGACGACGTGGATTGCGCGGGTGCGAGGATCTTCTTCGACTGTAAACGCGTCACCGCGTTGATGTCTACTGCAGGAGTAGCTGAACTCGTAGACGGCAGAACCGTTGTCTCACCGGAAACCGGTGGTTGAACCAGTATCGGAACCGGTAGGGCAGGGTTATCACATTCCTCCCCCTCCAGAGTGAAGCCATCAGTCGCCGTGGGTTGGCCTACAGCAAGCTGTGCGGGGACACGTGGATGACGCGCGTTGTTGACGAAAAACGGAGTCAATCCCGTCGACGCGTGTTCGGCATTGTTGAGTGCAAACTCCGCAAGAGGCAGGAAGGAACTCCAGTTCTCGAAGGACGGGGCATAACTTCGCAGAACATCTTCTAGCACGCGGTTGACGCGTTCCGTTTGCCCGTCAGTCTCCGGGTGCGCCGCCGTCGACATGAGGAGTTTGGTGCCCAGGAGGTCGAAGAGTTTCGTCCAGAACGCCGATGTGAATCGGGGATCGCGGTCAGAGATGATTGATTCAGGAAGGCCGTGATGTCGGAAGACAGCGTCGACGAAGAGCATTGGGGTATCGGTCGCGGTGATTGAGTCCGGAACCGGAACGAGATGGCACATTTTGCTAAAGCGATCCACGAAGACCAGAACACCAGTCCGATCGTCAGTATCGGGTGGGAGTTCGAATATGAAGTCCATTGACACAGAGTGCCACGCCTCTATCGCTAGAGGAAGAGAAAGCAGCGGAGCTTGCGATGACGGTGACGGCTTAACGCGTTGACCCGTTTCGCAGGAGCGGACCCACTTGCGCACCCACTTGCATAGGTGAGGCCAGTAGAAGTCGCGGGATACTGCTGCGAAAGTCTTCTCACGGCCCAAGTGGCCACCCACTGGAGCGTCGTGGAATTCGTATATAATTCTTGCGCGTAGATCGGGGTCGTTGGGGACAACGACACGAAGAGCATCGAATCGATCGATACCGTACATCAGTAGATCACCGTCACGTTGTTATCTGTGAATCTGGTCGCGCGTGGAGCGGCTCAGTGTCTTTAGCGTGGCATCACTTGGTGTGCGAAGGTGTTCCAGGATACCGGCATTTATCGAGTCATCTCGATACGCGGCAGAGATCTCTTTCCGCAGGGGAAGTATTGGAGATACCGCCGTCATCAGGTTCACACCTGCAGCCACACATGTGGCGCAGTCCAATTCGTCGTCGTCCGCGTCTTCAAGTTACTGACGACCCAAATCTCGGCGTGGATTGTAATCGGGGCGCCGAGATAGGGCATCCGCAAGGATGTTATTCTTGCCTGGCTTGTAGTGAACGACGAAGTTGTACTCGGAGAAGAATGACAGCCATCGTGCCATGCGCTGAGAGAGATGAGGGCTCTTCGTCGCTGTTCGCAGCGACGCGTGATCTGTGTAGATCGCGAATGTCTGCTCACCGAGTAAGTACACTCTGAATTTGATCAGTGCGTAGCGCATCGCAAGGAGTTCCTTATCGTGGACCGGATAATTCTTCTCAGCGGGCTTTATCTGTCTGGATTGGTAGCTCACGACGCGTTCGCGACCTTCGTCGTCGAACTGCATCAGTGCACAGCCGATGGCGAAGTCGCTCGCGTCGCAAACAACGTGGAATGGCTTTGCGTCATCTGGAAGCGCCAGGATTGGGGCCTCCGCCAAGCTTTTCTTCACTGCATTAAAGGCTGACTGATGTTCGGGAGTCCATGACCACGTGATGTCTTTCTTCAGCAATGAAGACAATGGCTGGTTCAGACCAGCATAATTTTTCGTGTACTTGTGGAGATAATTTGCGAGGCCAACCAACTGACGTAATTCAGTCTGATTCTGCGGCGTGGGCCACGCACAGATGGACGAGACCTTCTCAGGATCCGCTCGGACACCATTTTTGCTCACATAACAGCCAAGCACCGGAATCTCCGGGGCACAGAAGATGCACTTCTTCAAGTTCGCGTACAGTTTGTTTTCGCGCATGACTTGGAACACTTGTCGTAAGTGATTTAAGTGAACTTCTGTGGCGCTGAGATCGCCCTCAGCGCGGCTATGAACGAAGATGTCATCGAAGTAGCTCGGAGCGAAGTCGCGAAGTGGGTGCAGAACGTGGGAAACCATGCGATTGAACGTGGCTGGTGCGTTTTTCAGGCCCTGCGGCATGACAAGCCACTCCCACAGCATCCCGCTGGGAGTGCTCACCGCTGTGAGCGGGACGTCGCTGAGTCGCATCAAGATTTGATAAAAGCCATCGGTCAGGTCGATGGGGCTGAAAATAACACTGCGGCCCATGGTGTCAAGTACCATATCCTTCCGAGGGATCGGCGTTTGTGCAGGAATGGTGGCGTCGTTTAGCTTGTTAAAAGCGTGAACAATGCGCCAACCACCCGTGGCCTTCTTCACGCAGAACGTCGGACTCGAGTGTGGCGAGGTACTCTCGCGCACGTGACCCGCTTTGCGGCGGCTCTCGAAGAAGTCGTCAATGGCTTTAACCTGATCGCGTGGGAGGGGCCACTGTCGCGTCACACAGTACTTGGAACCCGGCGTGAGATCAATCTCATGGCGAATGCCTCTGTCAGCAGGGAGCTCAGCTGGAATCTTGTCGGGAAAAACATCCGCGAGCTCGTGGACGGTGTCGTATACTGGATTGCCCGAGTCGCGGAGTGACTCCCACGACTGGGCAGCGAAGCGCTCTTCGCGCGCCGACTTCGGCTCAGCGTTCTTTGGACGAAGTGGAAGATTGTCGGTAGCGACCGTGTGGATCTCTTCCGCCTAGGCAGACTCGGTGATCAAGCAGACCTGCTCGATGTCTCCTGACTTCAGATCGCGCAGAAAATGCTTCCAGGAAAGACCCGGAAGGCGTGTGATGGAAGAAGCTTCGCGAGGTGGGCTCTCAATGTCAAGTGTGCGTGAGCGAACGGCGCCTCCTTCCACGTGTTCCAGGACGTGTATGGACTCATTCACTGCGATATCGGCGGTGGGCTGACCACGTCGCTTAAGACGGCGTCGCTTAAATTTCTTCTTGTGGCGTCTCGAACCGCTGCTCGAGACAGAAGACTCGCTTTCGCTGGACGAGGGATCACCCCCCTCTAGACACGGAGGGGCACCATCAACCGTGTCGGTAGTGCGCGGGAGCTCTCGATGCTCGACCGCGCCATCGACTGGCGAGAGCCCCTGCTCGATCGCCGTCGTAGCCGGTGGGAGTGTCAGCTGCTCGACCACCGCTGTGGATGACGGGAGCTCCAGCTGCTCGACCGCCGAATCGCGTTGCGGGAACCTCAGCTCAACCGCTAGAGCGTTTTGCGGGAACCCATGCTCAACCGCCTTGGTGTGTTGCGGGAACCCATGCTCGACCGCCGTGTTGCGTGACGGGAGCCCATGCTCGACCGTCGTGTTGCGTGACGGGAACTCATGCGCGACCGCCTGTTCGGATTGCGGGAGCCCCTGCTCTACCGCCAAAGTGTAATCAACCTCGCTTCGCAGCGAGGGGTTTTCGCGCAACAGCGCTGTGCAAGACATACAGAGAGGGCCATCGCTCGCTCTCTGCTCAACCTGCATTGTGGACAACCGGTCCACGACCCTGACATGGGGCCTGTCCTTCTGGGCAACCAGGAAATGAGTGAACACCTCACTCACATCGAAGCCAGAGCGGTGTTTAACCGACCGAGCCAACCAGTCAATCTCTGGTTGATATCGTGGCAACCACGGGATACTTAAGATGCGGTCGAGCGCGTAGTTCATCTCAATCACGAGGAAGTCGTCGTTGCTGCGGAAGCCGTCGAATGTGTACGGCAACGTGATCTCGCGTCGCGCAACGCGGCGTGGATTTCCGTCAGCAAGTTTGACGACGACCTGACCTCGACCATTACGGACTGCGATCTCTCTTGGAAGCGTCGATAAGCACGATTCACGAAAGAAGTTATTCGAGGCTCCTGAGTCCAGGAGTGCGCGAAGTGGTTGCAGGGCGCCGGCGACATGAAGACTGACGATGATCAGCCTCGAGTCGCCCGACGTGGTGGTGGCATTAAAGTGTGCGTGGAGCACAGGAGGGCTAGAAGGTTGGGTAGCCACCGGGGGACCCGGACCTCCATTCCAGTCAGTAGAAGGCCCCGCATCTACTGGCCCTGACCGTTTTTTGACTGAACGGCAGGTGAGACTTCGGCGGTGTGCGCGAGTACCGGCGCTGGCGCGCGGCATTCCGCCGCGCGATGACCGATCTTTCGGCAGCGGAAGCAAGTGATCGGGCGATTAGGACGGCCGTTGTGCCCACGAGAAGTCGACTGACGGTGACTATTCGACGCGTCAATCGCGTCGATCTCCATGGGCTTGGGGGCTGACTCACGAGCTGCCGTAGACATCGCGCGCGCGTAAGACGCCGCCACAACGTAGTCTTCGCGTAATGCGAGGTCGAATGCTTCCTCGAGAAAGGAAGGTTCCGCTCGGGTCAGGCAGTACCGTGTCTTGCCTTCACGCATGCCGAATACGAATACATGGACCTGCGATGCTGTGTCAATCGGATTTGTCACGATGCATGACGCGAGGTGGCGAGTCTTTTGAACGTAGTCGCGCATAGTCTTTTACCTTGACGAAGGGCGAAGAACTCGGCACGCACGCGGGACTCGTCTTGAGGGGGCTCGAACGCGAGCCTGAGATCTTTCTGGAGAGACGCCAGAGTGGGGAATGCGTCGTGATCAACGACAAGCTAACCGAGGGCCCATTCCTTGGCCTTCTCGGACAACCGGGACAGTAAGAAATTGACCTTTGACCCTTGCACTTCGATCATTCTCGAAGCAATCGCGATGTCGACCTCGCGAAACCACCGGGTCAGCGGGAGGCGATTCGCTCCTTCACCGGAGAAGGTAGACGTCGCTAGCTTCACGACATCATTTTTCGAGAAACGCGCGGGAGTTCTTGCTCGCCGATTCGCATCGGCTAGCTCGCGTTTCATGAACTCTTGGGCTGCTTGGCGTTGTTGGTCGGACGTCGCTGAGCTCAGCAGCGACGCGATTACAGCCTCACCAGACACCGCCGCGAGGCGGTGAAGGGCTTCCCACTCGACACGAGTGAGATGAGGGAAAGCAGCATGTTCCAGGGTCGGCCCTGGAGTTTCAGACGTCATACCTTAGCTCATCGTGAACTTGGTCATGGGAAGGACTACAAAGTGCTAACAGGTGTAACGGGCCTGGGGTGTCCGTTACTTGCTTACACGTAGTGATGAGGAAGCGTACAAGTCCAGTGATACTGAAACCAAGTACTTAGTCGGAAGGAAAATCAACTCTGTTTTTATATAGGTCCAGAGCGGCTTGCCCTGACCACTCAAATACACGTCAACTTCTTATTGGTTGATTATGGGTCTGGATCCCCATATTTCAACCAATAGGGTGACAGCAGTTCAGCACACGCTTCGTGTGCTGCTGCACCTACTTTTGTAATGCAAATCTACCTACTTATGTAATGGTGTGAACCACTACAAAGAACCTATAAAACTACCTACATATGTAGCTTGGGAGGGCCCATTACAACGACCCATTTGTACCTGCATCGACACCCTTGCTTATTGCGTGGAGCTTTCAACATTTCTGTTTCAGTGCGAGGGGGACACTAAAGACCAGCAGAGCATGCTGCAATCTTTGACAAAGCTAGTGCGAGCGCAAGCGGTGAAGCGTAGGCGACAGCGGACACTCGATAGTTACTTTCAGCAAGATGACTACATGTAGGCATTTCTCTATGTGATGACTTCTATAAATGAAAAGACATTTTTCCCGAGCCAATCGGGTGTCATTTATGGAGGTGTGACTGTAGTCGGCTGCTTCCCAGACTAATATTTTGAAAATTAATTACCCTCTTCAAAGGATTAGCTTGTTATTAATGTTTGCTGGTTTATTGCTCAAAGTGAAATATACTACAGTACTGCACCACGTTTTTGTGGAGGTGGACCATATAGGCGTTGCAAAAAAATCAAATTTTAGTTTACAAAATAAAAATCTTTTGGATATAGGATCATCACTTCCGGATGTTTATCAATGGTACAAGTGTATCAATTCGCGCAGCGGGGTGCGCCTTTTCTTTAAAAATTGTATTTTCGAAATGCGATATTGAAGGATATGCAATATTGCAATACCATACTGGCATTAACTAATTGAAAATTTGCTGAATTTATTGCCAAGTTGGCAAACAGTTGAGAACGTGAAGCTGCAGAGTTTGGCGTTGCACGAGGCGTCAATGACGACAGTCATTTAGACATTATGTTGCAGGATGCCAAACTTTTACTGGGTGCTCCGCGACTGTATTATAGTTGCACAAGATGCAAGAATCTGGTGGTGGTCCAAAGTGCCCACCGCCCGGCGGCTATTACAGACTCCGCCCAGAAACTGAAAAGGGTGGACCTTCAAAGTTCCCAAAGGATATAAAGTAAGCATAGGCTATAAATTCTTGCAAATCCATAGTCCCACGTAAGTTCTAGATGAAAAGATGAAAGTAGTATGAAAGCGTCTGCGAGGGTATAAGATGAATGTGCATTTCAGTTTCTGGGTGGAGTCTGTAATACGCTGGTGGAGATGATTGCGTTAATTTTCCATTCGTGATCAACGCCCGTGACCTATCCGGATGATCCCGACGGTACTACCGTATCCGGTACGGCAGTTGACCTTCAAACTCAACTGCCTACATTGGGCACGACCGACCGGATTCGCACTCATGACTCATGAGTCATGAGTTCATCAAAAGTTTTCATTCCACGATTAGAGTCGTGCTCGCAAGTTCAAGTGGCCTTCGAATTGAACCTACTTTGACATGACACAATTCGTTTGCTGGTGGATAATGGCAAGTGTTGTAGCTCTCATGCTGCCCAAGTTTACTTCGAGTCACTCCCCAACACATTTAAATAGTGCCTCGCCCTCCACCAAACTGTTCGCTGAAAATGGTCGACGTTTGTTAGCAAGTTGCATCAAGTCTCACGGGCTGAAACAGTCGGCAAAAAGTCGTCGTCTAGCCAAATTAAAAGACATCCAAGCTGCTCGTCGCCTTGATGCGGAGACGGCTCTATCAACTGACCACGAATCGAGCCGCACGGGGCTTACATCCAACACGAGCTCAAGTGAACTTTTCACCGATGATGCAGCTTGCCTGCTAGAACCCGAGGTCACTGAAGGTCCGCTGGAGAGCTCATCCGTTCAGATATTCGCGAGGATCAACCAGGCATTGATCTGTACGTGGACCTGCAGTTCATCGACGTCAACACTTGCTTACCGGTGAGCAGCTTGTACGTTGGTTTTTGGCACGCTAATGCCAGTGGAGTATACTCTGGAGTGGTTGCAAGGACGAACGGGAGCTCGGACGATACTTCGAACACTGGCACTACTTTCCATCGCGGTCTATCACTGTGGTAAGTTCCGCTGAATGCTTGTTGCTTGCGAGGTAAATGCAATTGTGAGTTTATACGAACTGACCTATTGTTTTTTCTTGTCTTCTAGTGCTATGCCGTACGTATTGACTGGCCCTGAGCGCTCGGCGCCAGGTTCAAGTCCTCACCATGGTTGTGGTTATCTTCTGTATACCAGATAGCCTCGAAGATGTAATACAGGCTGTGCTTCAGCCTACACTGCCTCCCAAGACGACAACCACTTCCGAAGTATGTAGATGTATACATGTAGTCTGGACCCGAATAAAAGACCGTTTAAAATCCAATAGAAAGTACCGCCTGACAGAAATCTGTCACCACGCGAGGAGAGACAGGCCATTTCTGAGACGAGGCGACGTTACCAGTCAAGTTGCACTTCAACACGTTGAAGTTGGTCCGTAGCGTTACCAGGTAGCCGATTTAGTTGGATCCAGCATGCACGAGTGTAGCGTAGGCACGTACAAGCACATTGTCACCACAGGAACGAACATATTCACCCACACGTGACGGAACGTTCTTTTGTAGCGCTTCCAGAGACTCCCACGAGTCTTCTTCGTCCTGTAGACCCTCCCAGGACACGAGAAGCTGCCATACGCCTCTGTTCTTCCGGCGTTCTTTCAAACTCTCAACCACAAGTAGCATACCTTGGTTGCCTACATGAGCTAGTAGTTCTTCACTTACTTCCAAACTTGAGTCAGCGTAGAACTTAAGACGCGATCCATGCACGACGTAACGTTTGATCGTCACGAGGTGACGGATCGTGAAGGAGTGGGGGGCCGTCTCCACGACTTCAAATGGTCCTACCCAACGTGCTAGCAGTTTATCCACCTCAATCCTTAAGTCGATGCGTGACCATAGCACAAAATCGCCCACGCTGAAGTTGCACTCAGTCCCCTTGGACTGAGCCATATTCTGAAGGCGACGCTTCTCACGTCGATCCACAACCTCCTTGTGCAAACCGGCCAAACTGGTCCGCAGATGGTCAAGGCGTTCTGCAGGCAACGCCGAAGTCTCCAACACTTCAACTTGCTGACCTCGTTCCAGTAGGATAGGCTCAAATGGAGTCGGGCGTGGCAGTCCCGTAAACAGTTCACTCGGGGCTTTGTCGCCGAGCGACCGCACAGGAGTATGGTTGAGATTTCCCTGCACGAGAGGCAAGATGTAGACCCACTCATGAGTGTCTAGAGTAAACTCCATCAATAACACGCGTAGAATTTGGAGTACGTCGCGGTTTAGACATTCAACCGTTCCATTAATCTATGGTGCATATGCCACGACAAAGTTCTGGTCAATGTCTAATTTCTTGCAAATCATAGCAATCAGCTCGCTCTTGAAGTGGCTGCCCTGGTCTGACATCAACACCGATGGAGCACCAAAACGTTTCCACCAATCGACTAAAGCTGTAGCCGCCACCACACTTGTAGGTGAATCACAGGCCACCAGTTCGCAAAAGTGGGTGAGATTGTCCTTCAGTACAAGAACGTACTTACACGCACCCATGCTGTCCCCGAGAAAGAGATAATCGAAGTGTAGTAGTTTGTTTCGCTCTGTAGCCTCGTAGGTGGGTCCCCACGGGCGAGGGATGACGTTTCCCCCCTTCACGTGCTTGCAAAGCAAACATCGACTCAAAAACCGGCGGCAAACTTGAGTGAGGTTCGCGATCTCGAACAGCTCCTTCACTGTTGTGATCATGGGCTCTAATCCTCTGTGGCCCTGGGCTCCACAGTGAGCGACGATCAAAATTCGCTGCAGTAGTGCCACTTCAACTTCAGGTATCCACGGTCGATCGTTAACAACCAGGGATCCATTGTCGTCACGCTTTACGTTCACGGGTGCACTGCTGACATGCTTTTGCTGCACTGTCTGGATCTCGCCCAGAGTAGGAAACACAAATCCGTTTGCTCGCAGGTGTACACGCTGCATTTGAGTGTCAGCTACAGCAGTCTCCCGAGTCCTGCTTCTGGTGATAGCTTTGCACTTGGTTAGCACTCCCTCCTCCACTGAAGGAAGCCCCCACCGCGATAGTAAATTGGCCCCTAAATTGGCAGATCCATCGATATGCTCAATCTGATACTGCAACCCTGTCAACGAGAAGGTCCAGCGTTGAAGTTTTCCACGCACATGGCTCTTCACCACTTGATCAGGAGCGAACACGTACACGAGGTTCTTGTGATCGCAGTAGAGTCTGAGCCCGTTGCCACGAGCTAACAGGTAGGTCAGGTTGCGAGACGCCCAAATGATGGGGAAAGCTTCCTTTTCAATGATACTCCAGCGCCTCGCCGTGTCATCAAACTTCCCGCTCTTGCATACGAGCAGTTCGTGCTGTTGATCCGCCACCGGAACACCCTCAACCCAATCATGGACCTGCGTGACTACTAGTCCCCAGCCTCAGTCGGAAGCGTCCGACATGAGTACGATTGCCGCATCCTGGGCCGGGTGATGGAGTGTTTGAGACGTAGCAAGTAGGTTTCGTGCATCTTCAAATGCAGCTGTATCACGAGCATCCCATTGGAGAGCCGCACCTGCGGCAAGTCGTTTCGTCCGACCAACTGCTTTCAACACAGCTTCCAACTTGTCATGCAAAGGCTGCATCACCCGGCTGAAATCTATAAGAGAGTCACGCATCCATCCGGTTGCACAAAGGAACTGTTGTAAATCCGCAGCAGTACCGGGCAGAGGGAGTTGTCGGAGGCCACTAAGCCGTTCTGGGTCATGACAAACTCCAACACCACTGAGAACTCGGCCGCACCACTTAGCCTCCTTCCGAAACAGAAAACGTTTCATCACACTGAGTTTCAATCCAAGCTTGCGTGCACGAGCCAAAAACAGCCTCAACACAGCGACGAAAACTACCGGTGAAGGCGCGTACAGCAAAATATCGTCAATCCAGATCAACAGATTCGTTCGCAACATGTCCTCAAATGCTAAGTTCATCTGATTGTGGAAATGCAAAGGAGAATCCATAGCACCTTGAGGAACACGACATGGTGTCCATACTCCTTCGTCCGTAATGAAACTCAAAGGCTCCCTACTGTCTACATCAAGCGGCAGCTGAGAAAACCCACTTGGCATGTCAAACCCTGCGAATCCGTAAGCCCCTGCAACGTTCCCAGAGGACGACGAAAGATCAGCACCTGTGCCAGCAATCGGCACGGTTACCACGTTCACCGGTCGGTAATCGACCGTCAATCGAAATTCGTTTGGCCGACCAACCTTTGCAACCGGCACCGCTGCACAAGCCCACAAGCTCAAGATGTTTCGATAGATAAATCCGTTCTTTTCCAGCATCTGGACATGTTCTCGTAGAAACGCGCTCTGTGCTGGAGAATAACGGCGAGGGCGAGCTCGGTAAGGCTGAGCTTCTGGCTACGTGTACCTCAGTTGGGGGCATCATGGATGGGACACCTAAATCGAACGGGTCTTTGTCCGCAACAGGATCGCCAGATGCTAGTTGTGAAAGCTGCTCATTGACGTCAATGCCAAGCGTTTTCAACATGTCATTTCCAAGGATGAAATCTGACTCAGGGCCTTTTATCACTTTGCAGTACACATCAGACAAGTGTACGGGACCTGCAACAGTCTGCAACAGTAGATCCAGCGTGACTGCTTCACGACACTCCACTGTATTTCCTCCTGCCGCACTCTTTTTCTCTGTGCGAGGTAATTTCATCACGTTCAGAACTGCTCCAAGTCCAATCAACTCATCTAAGTACTGTCGAGGTAGGTATGTCTCCTCCGACCCTGTATCAGCAAGGAACGGGATCGTCAAAAGGTTATTAACCATTGTTTCGCCCGGCGCAGGTGCCGATCCGATCTTCTTGACACGTCCATTTGTCGCTTGACGAACCTCCTTCATCTTCTCCACGGCTCGAGCTTTCTCGTCTTCGCCCGCCGCTGGACAATCCCTCAACCAATGAGGTCCCTGGCAGTGCCAACAGCCCGTCTTCGGTGAAAGTGTTTCTTTCTTGGGAAAATTCTGCTTCACACTACCGCCAGCACCACCAGAACCACCGCGTATACTGCCAGTGGCACCCTGCGTATTTGCTGTCTTCATACTTGCTGATCTGGCTTCAGGTTTGTTGTTGTTGCGGTCATTCGCATTATCCTTCTTGGACAAGTTCGACTTGACCTTCTGATCATGTGCCATTACATGGTACTTATGCTGTGCACGGGCTTTCTCCTTAATAATCCCAAAAAGTGTGAAGTCGTTGCGCCTCGCTTCACGACATTCGTACTTTACGTGGCGACGCACGTCGTCTCGAAGCATCTTCGGCTCCAAGTTATCGATGAGAACAGTGCACCGTAGTTTCGTTCGGTCAACGTACCCACCATCGGCAGGATCACCCACACCAAGAATCTTCGTAAGACCATTCTCCTTATAGAGCGTAGCGAAGTCCTTGTAGTATTTAAGTACTCGGGCGTCAATGTCATCCTCTCGGAGGTCGATCTTCAACAGTCGTGAAAAAAAATCGTCTAAGTCTGGGACTTGGGCGTTCTTAACAGACCCGAGTTTAGCGTCGATCAGGGTGACCAATTCTTCACTCGTCACCTCGTCGACAGCCTTCCGGAGTTCGTAAAGGCAGAGTACTTCGAGCAGTTCCGGGTCAACACAAGTCTTGACCGGACGCAGAGCAACTTCCAGTCTTTCCCCACTCTCAGTGCAACGCTGGCGAACAATACTCACGTATTGTTCCCACCTCTTCTTCCAGCTGACAACTGCGTCCTGACTCCAGTCTGTCAATCTGGGTGCTTGAACAAACTCGAACACGGGTTGCTGAACGTTTTGCATCACAGCATCTCCGTCCGCATCGAATCGAGCTTCACTGCTTTGCATCTTGTCGCGGTCCTAAATGGACTAAAGTTAACTTTGTGGTAAGTTCCGCTGAATGCTTGTTGCTTGCGAGGAAAATGCAATTGTGAGTTTATACGAACTGACCTATTGTCCTTCTTGTCTTCTAGTGCTATGCCGTACGTATTGACTGGCCCTGAGCGCTCGGCGCCAGGTTGAAGTCCTCACCATGGTTGTGGTTGTCTTCTGAATACCAGATAGCCTCGAAGATGTAATACAGGTTGTGCTTCAGCCTACAATCACCCACTGACTACGATGGGTTCGTCTCGTTCACTACCAAGGTTCGTGGACTGTATGCAGGTACATTCACATCATGACACACTCTGGGGGAGCGGTACTGCCCAGTGGAACATACTCCGGTGGACGTATATCACACGTTGGTCAGCTTTTCTTCGACCAGTCTTTGATCAGAGATGTGCAAACCACTGCAGTATACGTAGACAACTCGAATCAGGTTATTACGAATGAGGACGACTCGATCGCTCTAGAGTCCGCGGGTAACGACTTCGACCCGTTCGTTCGCTACGTTAAACTTGGCAGTATTGAGGATGGCCTGCTATCGTGGATCTCCGTGGGTGTGGACATAACAAATGATAACTCTGTGTCCGCGGCTGGCACGTATAGGGGGAGCGGTGGTGAGACAACGGCCGCTGGAGGTACGACTTCTAACTCTGGATTTAGTTCTGCGCTAGAACCAGCTAACATTTCTGCTGTACCTTCGGCTTCTGCTGATGCAGGGAATGATGCGAGCACGATAAACTGGCGCACTCATGCTATTACATCTGCTGCTGATGTAGACTCAAATTGGTGACAATACCCCGAGCGTAAGCTCAATCAAGAGTCTCTGTTGAGCTTCCGTTGAAGAGCTTAATAATAATAAGTCTCTAAGAGTAAGTACTACAGTAGTAACTACCACTTGCTACGAGTAGTAGTACGTACAGCCCAATAGGGATTAATTAGAGATTATGTGCCCACACCAATAGTAGGTATCGATTCGATACAAATTTCAAATGAGGAGGTTTTATTTTTCTACCAATTTGTATGAACTTCACAGGTTTCAAAGTTTGGCATGGGTATTTACTTATAGAACCTTCGTGTACGAAGAAAATATTGCTTACCTTACAAATACTTGGAGATAATTTTTTACCTTTTTCAGTTTTACTTACAAGGCTAGGTGTTGTGCTACAATATCATTATTATCGTATTTGTAGATCTTAATACCTAAAAAGAGGTCTGTAAACAAAGCTGTCGAGGCCCACAGCGGCATTATCCGTCCACCTCTAGCCCTTGTTCGGTAGAAGAAGCAGTGGTTTCAATGCCTTGCTGCTGCCACTTGACGCAGCATCGCGCTGAGGATCCTGAACATGGTGATTTTGGAGCTCTCGGTATTTTTTTGCGAAGTGATAAGTCCGCTCGTATGTGTCGTTAGGCCGTTTCGGGCCAGCGGCCGCGGGCGTCACTACACCTTTGCCCGCCCATAGATGGCACATCAACACCCAGCTTTAATTTTGGGCGTCAGCAACGTGTCCAACTTAAGAAACATCACCCTTTTTTCTCATTCAATGTCGACTAATCAACATTCAAAGTCGTCACTGCCGAGATTCCGACGAGGAACTCCCGCGCGCTCGAAGCCGCCCGTGCTTATGTGTGTGGCGCGTCTTAATCTCCACTCTCAATTCTACCGAGCATCGCGTAGATGCCTTCCCAGTCCACGCACAAGCTTACGGCGTGGTAGCGTACCGCAACAAGCGGGGCAGCAACAAAATGCAGGACAACGCGGACTTCGTGGGGGATCTGTACAAGGTGGTGAAGGAGTCGGAGGTGTACGCCACCGAGTACACGAACAAGAACATTGTTGTCGTGTTCGACAACGCGCCAGCTTACTCACGCACGGGGGAGCATGTGCCTGCCCACGACGACCTCGTCCTGCTACGCTTGGGACCGTAACCCGATAGAGAACTGCTTCAGTTCTCTAATGGCACACATCAAGCCGTACCTAGCTCTTGCTAGGGAGGTGCTAATCAGCGACGGCAAGCCGATCACGAAGACCGAGGCGCGCATGCGCATTCTCGAACGCGCCGCCAGCGTGAACATGCCGAAGATCACGCAGCGCATGGTGCAGAAGATGGAGTTGCATGCTGCGAAGTTCGTCAACGCCGCAATTCGCTTCGAGGACATGGTGTAAGGCGAGTAGGTGGATCTGTAGGGAGAAGAGGAGTACAGCATGCCGACTTTGAGTATGGATTAGCCAGCTTTGATTGCACTAAGAATAGTGGTACTGCTTAGTTCGGGTACCTCGCTCCGGCAAAAAATAACCCAAAATTAAAGCTGCCGACTTTGGATGTTGAATGTCCCAACTATGGGCGGGCAAAGGTGTGGTGGACTCGACCGGCCCAAAACTTCCCCGAGCAGAGCGGAGATAGGTAAATAAGTGGACGATAAGTAGACGAGCAGAAAAGTGGAGTATCATGTAGGGAAAGCAAAGATAACCGCAGCAGCTACTCAACTCAACGCGGCGACGAAATATAGTGCCCTCGGGCGGTGGTCGCCGCAGCTGGTGAGCTCGCTGAGAAATTGAGGCTGTGAGCTTTTGAAAGAAACAATTTTGTCGGTGATAGAAAATGATAACCTCACTCGAATCGTATTACCTTCTTAAGCAGATTTGCAAACTAATGCCGTGCTAAGCTCGGTGAAGCTCTGGATATTACGGTATTTTCAAAAAGTAATAACTAGTGCGGAATGAAGGACTTTTTAAAAGAAAAAAGGAGAAGAATTGCGATTTAACTAAGCCTTCCAGTCTAGAAGAAGACATCAACAAACCGAGCGAGAATGATAGTCATTCATTTGAGTGGCTATCCCCGAACTTCGAAAACTTGAAAACAAGCTGGTACCCTAACTTAAGAAAGTACTGTATTTTAAAGAAGACCTGTAACAATTTTTCCACAGCATTATGGTTTCTTAATCTGTTCGATCCTCAATTGCATGAAGTCTTTGGGTTTCTGTCAGCGCATCACGACTTGGAGTAAAATACTCCAAAAACGCTTTCGTAAGGGAGGCCATGAGATACAACTGCGATAACGTTTTCACTCGGGTGACGGCGACATAGAAAGATGACCGCTGAGGAATCCTGCGAGTCGGATGACGAAGCGGAGCAAGAATCATTTTCTCTACTGTCAGTCCTCCCTTTGAAATACCCGACGTGGTAATTCGTTTTCTTCCTCTGATGTGTGTGATGTGTGTGTTTGTGTGTGTGGGCGTGCATGCGTGTGTGTGAGTGTGTGTGTGTGAGAGGGAGGGGGGATTACTTACGCGTTACGTCGTAAGGTTGATGTGTATGAGGATACCGTTTAGCCAAAATGAAGAAGCCGCGGTTGAACGTGCGTTGTCGTCCGACCTTGCTGTCTTGACGCGAGACGGCCTTGATAGGAATCCTATTAGTATTCATCTATTCACTTCTTTTAATCATGTAGCCTTCATGTACTGTACCACCCACCATCGGTGGTATCGTATATTGGAGCAACATCCACCTAAAACCAGATAGCGTGAATGTTGACCCAGGCGGCTTGGAACGACAGTCACCAGTGCTTTTTATGCTATACCGTAGCTTATTAGGTATTCCGTCCTTTGAGCCTATCACTTGCAAGCCACTATACTTTTACTAATTACAAATGTAGCACCCTAATATTTTATAGAGGATCGTCGACGGTTTTCGATCGCCCCTAAAACTCTGGATACGAATATCCAGAGAATTCTGGATGTGCTGGAGTTTAGTGTGGTAATGTTTCTTATCCGTATATGTTCGTTAGAGCAGATACGGTAAAATTCAACCGATTTACAAGTGATCGAGTCTAGTTTTAAAAATAAGGTGTTAAAATCTGCAAATTGTAATGCAGCAAGAAGAAGAAAAACACTCAGGACAACGAATTCCTCCCGGCTGATTGGAACTGACTACGAATTTGTAAGTTTTCAGTAAAAGTAGTGCATTTAAGAGAACAAAAGACCCCGCTGATGGTAAGGGAGTTGGTGCGAAGCCTTTGGCTTTCCAGGGCTACTAGCGCTGCGCAGAAGTCCTACCAGCCCAACCCTCTAGCTAATTTGGCAATAAATTCAGCAAATTTCCTATTAGTTGATGCCAGAGCTTTGCTAAATACTTTAAATCTCAGTATAGTATGGTATTGCAATATTGGATATCCTTGCAATATCGCATTTCAAAAAAAACAATTATTAAAGAAATGGCGCACTCCGCTGCGCGAATTGATACACTTGATTTACCAGTAAACTTTCGGATGTGACGATCCTGAATCCAAGGGTTTTTAAAAGTTTGTAAACCAAAATCTGATTTATTTAAAACGCCTTTATGGTCCACCTCCGCACAAACGGAGTGCTGTACTGCAGTATCTTTCAATTTGAGCAATAAATCAGCAAACATTAATTAATAACAAGTTAATCCTTCGAAGAAGGTGATTAATTTTTAAAACATTAGTTTGGGAAGCAGCGCAACTTGTTCACACACCCTCGGGCGATTTCGCAATTAATCTCGTTCTGACGCGACCAACTTACTTCGACGATAGAGATGCCTCTCTCTCAGGGCAGTATTTCGTAATGATGTCTTCCACTGTTTGATTTCGAACTTCTCACATTCCTGTACGATGTCACGAATCCCAATGGAAGTCTTGCTGCACTTCTTAACGGCTAATCCTAAGAACAGTTTCTGCACTGTCGACTCACCGCAATGCTTTTTGCTTTGGGCTCCGAAACGAAGGCGCCATTCCGCTGTGCCACAAAGATACCATCGGGCGACGATGACTTGCATAGCGGCTTTAAGCACAGGCCTTGGCTGGCTGACGTCTCAGCCGATTCATCCAACATGAGGCTCAGTCTTGGCCACGCATTCGGACGGGTCGCTCTTGATTGCAGCTAGATCTCCTTCTGAGGATCGTACTCATGTCTTGTCGTGATACGGGAGAGCTCACCGACTTTTATCC